GATGTAAGATGTAAGGAGGCTGGTAGGGTGGGGACACTGGCATAGAAATACAGATGTAAGGAGGCTGGTAGGATGGGGACACTGGCATAGAAATACAGATGTAAGATGTAAGGAGGCTGGTAGGGTGGGGACACTGGTATAGAAATACAGATGTAAGATGTAAGGAGGCTGGTAGGGTGGGGCCACTGGCATAGAAATACAGATGTAAGATGTAAGGAGGCTGGTAGGATGGGGACACTGGCATAGAAATACAGATGTAAGATGTAAGGAAGCTGGTAGGATGGGGACACTGGAATAGAAATACAGATGTAAGGAGGCTGGTAGGGTGGGGACACTGGCATAGAAATACAGATGTAAGATGTAAGGAGGCTGGTAGGATGGGGACACTGGAATAGAAATACAGATGTAAGATGTAAGGAGGCTGGTAGGGTGGGGACACTGGTATAGAAATACAGATGTAAGATGTAAGGAGGCTGGTAGGGTGGGACAACTGGCATAGAAATACAGATGTAAGATGTAAGTAGGCTGGTAGGGTGGGGACACTGGCATAGAAATACAGATGTAAGATGTAAGGAGGCTGGTAGGGTGGGGACACTGGCATAGAAATACAGATGTAAGATGTAAGGAGGCTGGTAGGGTGGGGCCACTGGCATAGAAATACAGATGTAAGATGTAAGGAGGCTGGTAGGGTGGGGACACTGGCATAGAAATACAGATGTAAGATGTAAGGAGGCTGGTAGGGTGGGGACACTGGCATAGAAATACAGATGTAAGATGTAAGGAGGCTGGTAGGGTGGGGACACTGGCATAGAAATACAGATGTAAGATGTAAGGAGGCTGGTAGGGTGGGGACACTGGCATAGAAATACAGATGTAAGATGTAAGGAGGCTGGTAGGGTGGGGACACTGGCATAGAAATACAGATGTAAGATGTAAGGAGGCTGGTAGGGTGGGGACACTGGCATAGAAATACAGATGTAAGATGTAAGGAGGCTGGTAGGGTGGGGACACTGGCATAGAAATACAGATGTAAGATGTAAGGAGGCTGGTAGGGTGGGGACACTGGCATAGAAATACAGATGTAAGATGTAAGGAGGCTGGTAGGGTGGGGACACTGGCATAGAAATACAGATGTAAGATGTAAGGAGGCTGGTAGGGTTGGGACACTGGCATAGAAATACAGATGTAAGATGTAAGGAGGCTGGTAGGGTGGGGACACTGGCATAGAAATACAGATGTAAGGAGGCTGGTAGGGTGGGGACACTGGCATAGAAATACAGATGTAAGATGTAAGGAGGCTGGTAGGGTGGGGACACTGGCATAGAAATACAGATGTAAGGAGGCTGGTAGGGTGGGGACACTGGCATAGAAATACAGATGTAAGATGTAAGGAGGCTGGTAGGGTGGGGACACTGGTATAGAAATACAGATGTAAGATGTAAGGAGGCTGGTAGGGTTGGGACACTGGCATAGAAATACAGATGTAAGATGTAAGGAGGCTGGTAGGGTGGGGACACTGGCATAGAAATACAGATGTAAGATGTAAGGAGGCTGGTAGGGTGGGGACACTGGCATAGAAATACAGATGTAAGATGTAAGGAGGCTGGTAGGGTGGGGACACTGGCATAGAAATACAGATGTAAGATGTAAGGAGGCTGGTAGGGTGGGGACACTGGCATAGAAATACAGATGTAAGATGTAAGGAGGCTGGTAGGGTGGGGACACTGGCATAGAAATACAGATGTAAGATGTAAGGAGGCTGGTAGGGTGGGGACACTGGCATAGAAATACAGATGTAAGGAGGCTGGTAGGGTGGGGACACTGGCATAGAAATACAGATGTAAGATGTAAGGAGGCTGGTAGGGTGGGGCCACTGGCATTAAAAAATACAGATGTAAGATGTAAGGAGGCTGGTAGGGTGGGGACACTGGCATAGAAATACAGATGTAAGGAGGCTGGTAGGGTGGGGATACTGGCATAGAAATACAGATGTAAGGAGGCTGGTAGGGTGGGGACACTGGCATAGAAATACAGATGTAAGATGTAAGGAGGCTGGTAGGGTGGGGACACTGGTATAGAAATACAGATGTAAGGAGGCTGGTAGGGTGGGGACACTGGCATAGAAATACAGATGTAAGATGTAAGGAGGCTGGTAGGGTGGGGACACTGGCATAGAAATACAGATGTAAGATGTAAGGAGGCTGGTAGGGTGGGGACACTGGCATAGAAATACAGATGTAAGATGTAAGGAGGCTGGTAGGGTGGGGACACTGGCATAGAAATACAGATGTAAGATGTAAGGAGGCTGGTAGGGTGGGGACACTGGCATAGAAATACAGATGTAAGATGTAAGGAGGCTGGTAGGGTGGGGACACTGGCATAGAAATACAGATGTAAGGAGGCTGGTAGGGTGGGGACACTGGCATAGAAATACAGATGTAAGATGTAAGGAGGCTGGTAGGGTGGGGACACTGGCATAGAAATACAGATGTAAGATGTAAGGAGGCTGGTAGGGTGGGGACACTGGCATAGAAATACAGATGTAAGGAGGCTGGTAGGGTGGGGACACTGGCATAGAAATACAGATGTAAGATGTAAGGAGGCTGGTAGGGTGGGGACACTGGCATTAAAAAATACAGATGTAAGATGTAAGGAGGCTGGTAGGGTGGGGACACTGGTATAGAAATACAGATGTAAGATGTAAGTAGGCTGGTAGGGTAGGGCCACTGGCATAGAAATACAGATGTAAGATGTAAGGAGGCTGGTAGGGTGGGGACACTGGCATAGAAATACAGATGTAAGATGTAAGGAAGCTGGTAGGGTGGGGCCACTGGCATTAAAAAATACAGATGTAAGATGTAAGGAGGCTGGTAGGGTGGGGACACTGGCATAGAAATACAGATGTAAGGAGGCTGGTAGGGTGGGGATACTGGCATAGAAATACAGATGTAAGGAGGCTGGTAGGGTGGGGATACTGGCATAGAAATACAGATGTAAGATGTAAGGAGGCTGGTAGGGTGGGGACACTGGCATAGAAATACAGATGTAAGGAGCCTCCTTTAGATGCTGGTAGTGTGAGAGTGACAAGACCAGATTTTGTCCCTCCACTTGTCAGTGAGCTGACTTACCTGGTAGTACTTTTAATAGCTTGAGCCTCGTCCAGTACCATGTACTGCCACTTGATCCTTTGGAAATACTTGACGTCTTGTATGACCAGCTGGTAGGATGTGATGACCACATGGAAGGATGCCTCCTCTGTATGCAGACATTTAGAATCCCAAAACTTGCGCAGGATCTTTCTGTCTTGAGTATTGCCCCAATATGGTACCACCTGATGAACATCATCAATGTGGGTCATTCACGCACCAGCACAGGTCAGTCACCTTAACCTTGTCAGTCACCTTAAACCTTGTCAGTCAGTCACCTTAAACCTTGTCAGTCAGTCACCTTAAACCTTGTCAGTCAGTCACCTTAAACCTTGTCAGTCAGTCACCTTAAACCTTGTCAGTCAGTCACCTTAAACCTTGTCAGTCAGTCACCTTAAACCTTGTCAGTCAGTCACCTTAAACCTTGTCAGTCAGTCACCTTAAACCTTGTCAGTCAGTCACCTTAAACCTTGTCAGTCAGTCACCTTAAACCTTGTCAGTCAGTCACCTTAAACCTTGTCAGTCAGTCACCTTAAACCTTGTCAGTCAGTCACCTTAAACCTTGTCAGTCAGTCACCTTAAACCTTGTCAGTCAGTCACCTTAAACCTTGTCAGTCAGTCACCTTAAACCTTGTCAGTCACCTTAAACCTTGTCAGTCAGTCACCTTAAACCTTGTCAGTCAGTCACCTTAAACCTTGTCAGTCAGTCACCTTAAACCTTGTCAGTCAGTCACCTTAAACCTTGTCAGTCACCTTAAACCTTGTCAGTCACCTTAAACCTTGTCAGTCAGTCACCTTAAACCTTGTCAGTCAGTCACCTTAAACCTTGTCAGTCAGTCACCTTAAACCTTGTCAGTCACCTTAAACCTTGTCAGTCAGTCACCTTAAACCTTGTCAGTCAGTCACCTTAAACCTTGTCAGTCAGTCACCTTAAACCTTGTCAGTCAGTCACCTTAAACCTTGTCAGTCAGTCACCTTAAACCTTGTCAGTCAGTCACCTTAAACCTTGTCAGTCAGTCACCTTAAACCTTGTCAGTCAGTCACCTTAAACCTTGTCAGTCACCTTAAACCTTGTCAGTCAGTCACCTTAAACCTTGTCAGTCAGTCACCTTAAACCTTGTCAGTCAGTCACCTTAAACCGTGTCAGTCACCTTAAACCTTGTCAGTCAGTCACCTTAAACCTTGTCAGTCAGTCACCTTAAACCTTGTCAGTCACCTTAAACCTTGTCAGTCAGTCACCTTAAACCTTGTCAGTCAGTCACCTTAAACCTTGTCAGTCACCTTAAACCTTGTCAGTCACCTTAAACCTTGTCAGTCAGTCACCTTAAACCTTGTCAGTCAGTCACCTTAAACCTTGTCAGTCAGTCACCTTAAACCTTGTCAGTCACCTTAAACCTTGTCAGTCAGTCACCTTAAACCTTGTCAGTCAGTCACCTTAAACCTTGTCAGTCAGTCACCTTAAACCTTGTCAGTCAGTCACCTTAAACCTTGTCAGTCAGTCACCTTAAACCTTGTCAGTCAGTCACCTTAAACCTTGTCAGTCAGTCACCTTAAACCTTGTCAGTCAGTCACCTTAAACCTTGTCAGTCAGTCACCTTAAACCTTGTCAGTCAGTCACCTTAAACCTTGTCAGTCAGTCACCTTAAACCTTGTCAGTCAGTCACCTTAAACCTTGTCAGTCAGTCACCTTAAACCTTGTCAGTCAGTCACCTTAAACCTTGTCAGTCAGTCACCTTAAACCTTGTCAGTCACCTTAAACCTTGTCAGTCAGTCACCTTAAACCTTGTCAGTCACCTTAAACCTTGTCAGTCAGTCACCTTAAACCTTGTCAGTCACCTTAAACCTTGTCAGTCACCTTAAACCTTGTCAGTCAGTCACCTTAAACCTTGTCAGTCAGTCACCTTAAACCTTGTCAGTCAGTCACCTTAAACCTTGTCAGTCAGTCACCTTAAACCTTGTCAGTCAGTCACCTTAAACCTTGTCAGTCAGTCACCTTAAACCTTGTCAGTCAGTCACCTTAAACCTTGTCAGTCACCTTAAACCTTGTCAGTCAGTCACCTTAAACCTTGTCAGTCACCTTAAACCTTGTCAGTCAGTCACCTTAAACCTTGTCAGTCACCTTAAACCTTGTCAGTCAGTCACCTTAAACCTTGTCAGTCAGTCACCTTAAACCTTGTCAGTCAGTCACCTTAAACCTTGTCAGTCAGTCACCTTAAACCTTGTCAGTCAGTCACCTTAAACCTTGTCAGTCAGTCACCTTAAACCTTGTCAGTCAGTCACCTTAAACCTTGTCAGTCAGTCACCTTAAACCTTGTCAGTCACCTTAAACCTTGTCAGTCAGTCACCTTAAACCTTGTCAGTCACCTTAAACCTTGTCAGTCACCTTTAACCGTGTCAGTCAGTCACCTTAAACCTTGTCAGTCAGTCACCTTAAACCTTGTCAGTCAGTCACCTTAAACCTTGTCAGTCACCTTAAACCTTGTCAGTCAGTCACCTTAAACCTTGTCAGTCAGTCACCTTAAACCTTGTCAGTCAGTCACCTTAAACCTTGTCAGTCAGTCACCTTAAACCTTGTCAGTCACCTTAAACCTTGTCAGTCACCTTAAACCTTGTCAGTCAGTCACCTTAAACCTTGTCAGTCAGTCACCTTAAACCTTGTCAGTCAGTCACCTTAAACCTTGTCAGTCACCTTAAACCTTGTCAGTCAGTCACCTTAAACCTTGTCAGTCAGTCACCTTAAACCTTGTCAGTCAGTCACCTTAAACCTTGTCAGTCACCTTAAACCTTGTCAGTCAGTCACCTTAAACCTTGTCAGTCAGTCACCTTAAACCTTGTCAGTCAGTCACCTTAAACCTTGTCAGTCAGTCACCTTAAACCTTGTCAGTCAGTCACCTTAAACCTTGTCAGTCAGTCACCTTAAACCTTGTCAGTCAGTCACCTTAAACCTTGTCAGTCAGTCACCTTAAACCTTGTCAGTCACCTTAAACCTTGTCAGTCACCTTAAACCTTGTCAGTCACCTTAAACCTTGTCAGTCAGTCACCTTAAACCTTGTCAGTCAGTCACCTTAAACCTTGTCAGTCACCTTAAACCTTGTCAGTCAGTCACCTTAAACCTTGTCAGTCAGTCACCTTAAACCTTGTCAGTCAGTCACCTTAAACCTTGTCAGTCACCTTAAACCTTGTCAGTCAGTCACCTTAAACCTTGTCAGTCAGTCACCTTAAACCTTGTCAGTCAGTCACCTTAAACCTTGTCAGTCAGTCACCTTAAACCTTGTCAGTCAGTCACCTTAAACCTTGTCAGTCAGTCACCTTAAACCTTGTCAGTCAGTCACCTTAAACCTTGTCAGTCAGTCACCTTAAACCTTGTCAGTCACCTTAAACCTTGTCAGTCAGTCACCTTAAACCTTGTCAGTCAGTCACCTTAAACCTTGTCAGTCAGTCACCTTAAACCTTGTCAGTCAGTCACCTTAAACCTTGTCAGTCAGTCACCTTAAACCTTGTCAGTCAGTCACCTTAAACCTTGTCAGTCAGTCACCTTAAACCTTGTCAGTCAGTCACCTTAAACCTTGTCAGTCAGTCACCTTAAACCTTGTCAGTCAGTCACCTTAAACCTTGTCAGTCAGTCACCTTAAACCTTGTCAGTCAGTCACCTTAAACCATGTCAGTCATTCACCTTAAACCTTGTCAGTCAGTCACCTTAAACCTTGTCAGTCAGTCACCTTAAACCTTGTCAGTCACCTTAAACCTTGTCAGTCAGTCACCTTAAACCTTGTCAGTCAGTCACCTTAAACCTTGTCAGTCACCTTAAACCTTGTCAGTCAGTCACCTTAAACCTTGTCAGTCAGTCACCTTAAACCTTGTCAGTCAGTCACCTTAAACCTTGTCAGTCAGTCACCTTAAACCTTGTCAGTCAGTCACCTTAAACCTTGGTGTGAAGCGGGAGACCTCTTGTTGCCAATTGTGAAGGGTGGAGGCTGGAGCAATGATCAAAAATGGCCCCCAGATATTCTGGACCTAGAGAAGATAAGATTGAGTTAAACCCATACATGAGTTAAACCCATTCATGAGTTGAACAAACCAATGAGTTACATCAAACAACAGTTTTTTGCTTCAAATATCAAATGTATGCTAAATGTGTACAAGATATTTATGTAACAATGGATGCTAAATGTGTACAAGATATTTATGTAACAATGGATGCTAAATGTGTACAATATTTTTATGTAACAATGGATGCTAAATGTGTACATTTATGTAACAATGGATGCTAAATGTGTACAAGATATTTATGTAACAATGGATGCTAAATGTGTTCATTTATGTAACAATGGATGCTAAATGTGTACATTTATGTAACAATGGATGCTAAATGTGTACATTTATGTAACAATGGATGCTAAATGTGTACATTTATGTAACAATGGATGCTAAATGTGTACATTTATGTAACAATGGATGCTAAATGTGTACAAGATATTTATGTAACAATGGATGCTAAATGTGTACATTTATGTAACAATGGATGCTAAATGTGTACATTTATGTAACAATGGATGCTAAATGTGTACATTTATGTAACAATGGATGCTAAATGTGTACAAGATATTTATGTAACAATGGATGCTAAATGTGTGCATTTATGTAACAATGGATGCTAAATGTGTACATTTATGTAACAATGGATGCTAAATGTGTACAATATTTTTATGTAACAATGGATGCTAAATGTGTACATTAATGTAACAATGGATGCTAAATGTGTACATTTATGTAACAATGGATGCTAAATGTGTACAAGATATTTATGTAACAATGGATGCTAAATGTGTACATTTATGTAACAATGGATGCTAAATGTGTACATTTATGTAACAATGGATGTTAAATGTGTACAGGATATTTATGTAACAATGGATGCTAAATGTGTACATTTATGTAACAATGGATGCTAAATGTGTACAAGATATTTATGTAACAATGGATGCTAAATGTGTACATTTATGTAACAATGGATGCTAAATGTGTACATTTATGTAACAATGGATGCTAAATGTGTACATTTATGTAACAATGGATGCTTAATGTGTACAAGATATTTATGTAACAATGGATGCTAAATGTGTGCATTTATGTAACAATGGATGCTAAATGTGTACATTTATGTAACAATGGATGCTAAATGTGTACATTTATGTAACAATGGATGCTAAATGTGTACATTTATGTAACAATGGATGCTAAATGTGTACAATATTTTTATGTAACAATGGATGCTAAATGTGTACATTAATGTAACAATGGATGCTAAATGTGTACATTTATGTAACAATGGATGCTAAATGTGTACATTAATGTAACAATGGATGCTAAATGTGTACATTTATGTAACAATGGATGCTAAATGTGTACAAGATATTTATGTAACAATGGATGCTAAATGTGTACATTTATGTAACAATGGATGCTAAATGTGTACATTTATGTAACAATGGATGCTAAATGTGTACAGGATATTTATGTAACAATGGATGCTAAATGTGTACATTTATGTAACAATGGATGCTAAATGTGTACAAGATATTTATGTAACAATGGATGCTAAATGTGTACATTTATGTAACAATGGATGCTAAATGTGTACATTAATGCAACAATGGATGCTAAATGTGTACATTTATGCAACAATGGATGCTAAATGTGTACATTTATGTAACAATGGATGCTAAATGTGTACAGGATATTTATGTAACAATGGATGCTAAATGTGTACAGGATATTTATGTAACAATGGATGCTAAATGTGTACATTTATGTAACAATGGATGCTAAATGTGTACAAGATATTTATGTAACAATGGATGCTAAATGTGTACATTTATGTAACAATGGATGCTAAATGTGTACATTAATGCAACAATGGATGCTAAATGTGTACATTTATGCAACAATGGATGCGAAATGTGTACACGATATTTATGTAACAATGGATGCTAAATGTGTACATTTATGTAACAATGGATGCTAAATGTGTACATTTATGTAACAATGGATGCTAAATGTGTACATTTATGTAACAATGGATGCTAAATGTGTACATTTATGTAACAATGGATGCTAAATGTGTACATTTATGTAACAATGGATGCTAAATGTGTACAAGATATTTATGTAACAATGGATGCTAAATGTGTACATTTATGTAACAATGGATGCTAAATGTGTACATTTATGTAACAATGGATGCTAAATGTGTACATTTATGTAACAATGGATGCTAAATGTGTACAAGATATTTATGTAACAATGGATGCTTAATGTGTGCATTTATGTAACAATGGATGCTAAATGTGTACATTTATGTAACAATGGATGCTAAATGTGTACAATATTTTTATGTAACAATGGATGCTAAATGTGTACATTAATGTAACAATGGATGCTAAATGTGTACATTTATGTAACAATGGATGCTAAATGTGTACAAGATATTTATGTAACAATGGATGCTAAATGTGTACATTTATGTAACAATGGATGCTAAATGTGTACATTTATGTAACAATGGATGCTAAATGTGTACATTTATGTAACAATGGATGTTAAATGTGTACAGGATATTTATGTAACAATGGATGCTAAATGTGTACATTTATGTAACAATGGATGCTAAATGTGTACAAGATATTTATGTAACAATGGATGCTAAATGTGTACATTTATGTAACAATGGATGCTAAATGTGTACATTAATGCAACAATGGATGCTAAATGTGTACATTTATGCAACAATGGATGCTAAATGTGTACACGATATTTATGTAACAATGGATGCTAAATGTGTAAATTCATGTAACAATGGATGCTAAATGTGTACATTTATGTAACAATGGATGCTAAATGTGTACACGATATTTATGTAACATTGTATGCTAAATGTGTACAAGATATTTATGTAACAATGGATGCTAAATGTGTACAAGATATTTATGTAACAATGGATGCTAAATGTGTACATGATATTTATGTAACATTGGATGCTAAATGTGTACGAGATAGTCTAAAGCCTTACTTCTGCCAGGTATGCAAGAAAAGCGATGCTTTGTACAGTTTTCCCCAGCCCCATCTCATCAGCCAAGATGCCATTGATGCCCTGGTTGTACAGGTTGGCCACCCAGTTCATGCCCTTGAGCTGGTAGCCCTTGAGCTTGCCTGCAAACATGTCTGGCTGGGCACTCTTCAGGCTGTCTGTCTCACTTCCTGCGCCACTCACTCAAACAAACAAATCTCAGACTCAGGCAAGACACAAACATACATTGCATTGCTAACTTTGGAGCAAGTATATATACCTAAGTAGAAATGTTGATCAAACTTACAAGCATCCGCATCAAAAGCTTTGCGCTGCAAGAGAAATCATGATCTGACGTTAAGGGACTATCACACGCTTATCGAAATATCACACCCACAATACTCATCATACTAACTTACTGATAATGATCCGAAATGGTAGACAAAACAAGTCAATCCAAATGGTAGACCAAAACAAGTCAATCCAAATGGTAGACCAAAACAAGTCAATCCAAATGGTAGACCAAAACAAGTCAATCCAAATGATAAACCAAAACAAGTCAATCCAAATGGTAGACCAAAACAAGTCAATCCAAATGGTAGACCAAAACAAGTCAATCCAAATGATAAACCAAAACAAGTCAATCCAAATGATAAACCAAAACAAGTCAATCCAAATGGTAGACCAAAACAAGTCAATCCAAATGATAAACCAAAACAAGTCAATCCAAATGATAAACCAAAACAAGTCAATCCAAATGGTAGACCAAAACAAGTCAATCCAAATGGTAGACCAAAACAAGTCAATCCAAATGGTAGACCAAAACAAGTCAATCCAAATGGTAGACCAAAACAAGTCAATCCAAATGGTAGACCAAAACAAGTCAATCCAAATGGTAGACCAAAACAAGTCAATCCAAATGGTAGACCAAAACAAGTCAATCCAAATGGTAGACCAAAACAAGTCAATCCAAATGGTAGACCAAAACAAGTCAATCCAAATGGTAGACCAAAACAAGTCAATCCAAATGAAACACTTGTGTGAACACGTGTTGTGAATGTGTTGTCTCACCTCCAGGATATTTTTGCTATAAGCAGTTTCTGCATTGCTCAAAGCCAACTTTTTCATTGCTTCACCATCTGGAAATAAACAAGTCATTGCTCAAAGCCAACTTTTTCATTGCTTCACCATCTGGAAATAAACAAGTCATTCAAAGGTTGGGAGAGGAGGGTGGGTGGGAGGGTGGGGCACATCACCATCTGGAAATAAACAAGTCATTCAAAGGTTGGGAGAGGAGGGTGGGTGGGAGGGTGGGGCACATCACCATCTGGAAATAAACAAGTCATTCAAAGGTTGGGAGAGGAGGGTGGGTGGGAGGGTGGGGCACATCAAAGGCTTTTTTCTGCATGGGTGTATGGGATATGCCAGCATAGAAAGATGAGCTAGCAAGAAGTAGATCTACCATAATCATCATCCAGCAGCTCGTCCTCCAGAACACCAGCGTTAATGTGTCTTGAGTTCTTTCCCTTGTTTCTTTCATCCAAGTGGGCTAAAATACTCTCCTGGTGCTGGCTGCCCTCCCCTGTTATCTTACGTGCCATAAAGTGGGCATACAGCTCCGTCTGGGTGATCAAAAAGTTCAGTTTTCTTTGTTGACGCTTGGCCTGACGGGAGTAAATCATGACAATCTTAGAATGGCCTGAGTAAATCATGACAATCTTAGAATGGCCTGAGTAAATCATGACAATCTTAGAATGGCCTGAGTAAATCATGACCATCTTAGAATGGCCTGAGTAAATCATGACAATCTTAGAATGGCCTGAGTAAATCATGACAATCTTAGAATGGCATGAGTAAATCATGACAATCTTAGAATGGCCTGAGTAAATCATGACAATCTTAGAATGGCCTGAGTAAATCATAACAATCTTAGAATGGCCTGAGTAAATCATGACAATCTTAGAATGGCCTGAGTAAATCATGACAATCTTAGAATGGCCTGAGTAAATCATGACAATCTTAGAATGGCCTGAGTAAATCATGACAATCTTAGAATGGCCTGAGTAAATCATGACAATCTTAGAATGGCCTGAGTAAATCATGACAATCTTAGAATGGCCTGAGTAAATCATGACAATCTTAGAATGGCCTGAGTAAATCATGACAATCTTAGAATGGCCTGAGTAAATCATGACAATCTTAGAATGGCCTGAGTAAATCATGACAATCTTAGAATGGCCTGAGTAAATCATGACAATCTTAGAATGGCCTGAGTAAATCATGACAATCTTAGAATGGCCTGAGTAAATCATGACAATCTTAGAATGGCCTGAGTAAATCATGACAATCTTAGAATGGCCTGAGTAAATCATGACAATCTTAGAATGGCATGAGTAAATCATGACAATCTTAGAATGGCCTGAGTAAATCATGACAATCTTAGAATGGCCTGAGTAAATCATAACAATCTTAGAATGGCCTGAGTAAATCATGACAATCTTAGAATGGCCTGAGTAAATCATGACAATCTTAGAATGGCCTGAGTAAATCATGACAATCTTAGAATGGCCTGAGTAAATCATGACAATCTTAGAATGGCCTGAGTAAATCATGACAATCTTAGAATGGCCTGAGTAAATCATGACAATCTTAGAATGGCCTGAGTAAATCATGACAATCTTAGAATGGCCTGAGTAAATCATGACAATCTTAGAATGGCCTGAGTAAATCATGACAATCTTAGAATGGCCTGAGTAAATCATGAGAATCTTAGAATGGCCTGAGTAAATCATGACCATCTTAAAAAGGTGCCACCAATCAAACCAAGATGTCTGACTGAATAAGAAAGTGAAGCTGACCTCCCTTAGCTCTATGTCCAACTTCCTTTGTTCCAGCGCCTCTTTCTCCGCCCTTTTCCTGTGTTCTTTTTCAACTTTTTCAAATCGCTTCCAGTAAATGAGCATTTCTCTGGTCAACCTCCTAGCACGCGATGGTGTTTCTTTCATTGTTTTCTGGGACTGTAGTGCAGTCCTACGGCACTCTCTCATGGCCTGGGTGGACACCTGCATGACATGACATGACATCAGCTCATACCTGCATGACATGACATCAGCTCATACCTGCATGACATGACATGACATCAGCTCATACCTGCATGACATGACATGACATCAGCTCATACCTGCATGACATGACATGACATAAGCTCATACCTGCATGACATGACATGACATCAGCTCATACCTGCATGACATGACATGACATCAGCACATACCTGCATGACATGACATCAGCACATACCTGCATGACATGACATCAGCTCATACCTGCATGACATGACATGACATCAGCACATACCTGCATGACATGACATCAGCACATACCTGCATGACATGACATGACATCAGCACATACCTGCATGACATGACATCAGCACATACCTGCATGACATGAGATCATACCTGCATGACATGACATGACATCAGCACATACCTGCATGACATGACATGACATCAGCACATACCTGCATGACATGACATGACATGAGCACATACCTGCATGACATGACATCAGCACATACCTGCATGACATGACATGACATCAGCACATACCTGCATGACATGACATCAGCACATACCTGCATGACATGACATGATATCATACCTGCATGACATGACATGACATGAGCACATACCTGCATGACATGACATCAGCACATACCTGCATGACATGACATCAGCACATACATGCATGACATGACATCAGCACATACCTGCATGACATGACATGAGATCATACCTGCATGACATGACATGACATCAGCACATACCTGCATGACATGACATGACATCAGCACATACCTGCATGACATGACATCAGCACATACCTGCATGACATGACATCAGCACATACATGCATGACATGATTTGAGCACATACCTGCATGACATGACATGAGCAAATACCTGCATGACATGACATGAGATCATACCTGCATGACATGACATGACATCAGCACATACCTGCATGACATGACATCAGCACATACATGCATGACATCAGCACATACCTGCATGACATGACATGACATCAGCACATACCTGCATGACATGACATGACATCAGCTCATACCTGCATGACATGACATCAGCTCATACCTGCATGACATGACATCAGCACATACCTGCATGACATGACATGACATCAGCTCATACCTGCATGACATGACATCAGCTCATACCTGCATGACAACAACACTAGACACGACATCAGCACATACCTGCATGACAACAACACTAGACATGACATCAGCTCATACCTACATGACAACAACACTAGACATCAGCACATACCTACATGACAACAACACATGACATCAGCACATACCTACATGACAACAACACATGACATCAGCACATACCTACATGACAACAACACATGACATCAGCTCATACCTGCATGACAACAACACATGACATCAGCTCATACCTACATGACAACAACACATGACATCAGCTCATACCTACATGACAACAACACATGACATGACATCAGCTCATACCTACATGACAACAACACATGACATCAGCTCATACCTACATGACAACAACACATGACATCAGCTCATACCTACATGACAACAACACTAGACATGACATCAGCTCATACCTGCATGACAACAACACATGACATGACATCAGCTCATACCTACACGACAACAACACTAGACATGACATCAGCTCATACCTACATGACAACAACACATGACATCAGCTCATACCTGCATGACAACAACACATGACATCAGCTCATACCTGCATGACAACAACACATGACATCAGCACATACCTGCATGACAACAACACTAGACACGACATCAGCACATACCTGCATGACAACAACACATGACATCAGCACATACCTGCATGACAACAACACTAGACACGACATCAGCACATACCTGCATGACAACAACACTAGACATGACATCAGCTCATACCTTTTTCATTGTGGCTAGCATTTCTTTGCGGGCTGAAACTTTTTGCTTTTGAGCCTGGACAATGTGGACAAAAAATACTTGACTTCAATCTAGACTGACACCAATCAAGACTGACCATTTACACCAATCAAGACTGACCATTTACACCAATCTAGACTGACCATTTACACCAATCTAGACTGACCATTTACTCCAATCTAGACTGACCATTTACACCAATCTAGACTGACCATTTACACCAATCTAGACTGACCATTTACACCAATCTAGACTGACCATTTACACCAATCTAGACTGACCATTTACACCAATCTAGACTGACCATTTACATCAATCTAGACTGACCATTTACACCAATCTAGACTGACCATTTACACCAATCTAGACTGACCATTTACACAGTGCATCAACAATAACAAAGCTTAAACAATTGTAAATCACCTGACACACCATCACCAGACACACCATCACCAGACACATCATAACCTAACACATCAGCTGACACCATTACTCACCCGAGGAATTTCTTTTTTTGCTATAGAGACCCAGAGTTTTCTTCTTTTGATGTCCGCCTGTTCTGCCGTCAGTTTTTTGCTTTTCTTCTTCTCGTGTCTCTTGGCTAAAATCACTTGCAATATGGACGGATCAATCTCCTGAGATGGGTTGAAATATTCTCACAATAGATTTCAACCAAGATACAACACTTGGCTGGTTGAAATATCCTCACAATATCTACCCCTTCGCTCTACCTCTACTTATCTCCCCTTCGCTCTACCTCTACCCCTTCCCTCTACCTCTACTTATCTCCCCTTTGCTCTACCTCTACTTATCTCCCCTTCCCTCTACCTCTACTTATCTCCCCTTCCCTCTACTTATCTCCCCTTCCCTCTACCCCTTCCCTCTACCTCTACTTATCTCCCCTTCCCTCTACTTATCTACCCCTTCCCTCTACCTCTACTTATCTCCCCTTCCCTCTACCTCTACTTATCTCCCCTTCCCTCTACCTCTACTTATCTCCCCTTTGCTCTACCTCTACTTATCTACCCTTTGCTCTACCTCTACTTATCTCCCCTTCCCTCTACCTCTACTTATCTACCCTTCCCTCTACTTATCTCCCCTTCCCTCTACCCCTTCCCTCTACCTCTACTTATCTCCCCTTCCCTCTACTTATCTACCCCTTCCCTCTACCTCTACTTATCTCCCCTTCCCTCTACCTCTACTTATCTCCCCTTCCCTCTACCTCTACTTATCTCCCCTTCCCTCTACCTCTACTTATCTCCCCTTTGCTCTACCTCTACTTATCTCCCCTTCCCTCTACCTCTACTTATCTCCCCTTCCCTCTACCTCTACTTATCTCCCCTTCCCTCTACCTCTACTTATCTACCCTTTGCTCTACCTCTACTTATCTCCCCTTCCCTCTACCTCTACTTATCTACCCTTTGCTCTACCTCTACTTATCTCCCCTTCCCTCTACCTCTACTTATCTCCCCTTCCCTCTACCTCTACTTATCTCCCCTTCCCTCTACCTCTACTTATCTCCCCTTCCCTCTACTTATCTCCCCTTCCCTCTACCCCTTCCCTCTACCTCTACTTATCTCCCCTTCCCTCTACTTATCTACCCCTTCCCTCTACCTCTACTTATCTCCCCTTCCCTCTACCTCTACTTATCTCCCCTTCCCTCTACCTCTACTTATCTCCCCTTTGCTCTACCTCTACCCCTTCCCTCTACCTCTACTTATCTCCCCTTCCCTCTACCTCTACTTATCTCCCCTTCCCTCTACCTCTACTTATCTCCCCTTCCCTCTACTTATCTCCCCTTCCCTCTACCCCTTCCCTCTACCTCTACTTATCTCCCCTTCCCTCTACTTATCTACCCCTTCCCTCTACCTCTACTTATCTCCCCTTCCCTCTACCTCTACTTATCTCCCCTTCCCTCTACCTCTACTTATCTCCCCTTTGCTCTACCTCTACTTATCTACCCTTTGCTCTACCTCTACTTATCTCCCCTTCCCTCTACTTATCTCCCCTTCCCTCTACCCCTTCCCTCTACCTCTACTTATCTCCCCTTCCCTCTACTTATCTACCCCTTCCCTCTACCTCTACTTATCTCCCCTTCCCTCTACCTCTACTTATCTCCCCTTCCCTCTACTTATCTCCCCTTCCCTCTACCCCTTCCCTCTACCTCTACTTATCTCCCCTTCCCTCTACTTATCTACCCCTTCCCTCTACCTCTACTTATCTCCCCTTCCCTCTACCCCTTCCCTCTACCTCTACTTATCTCCCCTTCCCTCTACCTCTACTTATCTCCCCTTCCCTCTACCCCTACTTATCTCCCCTTCCCTCTACCCCTTCCCTCTACCTCTACTTATCTCCCCTTCCCTCTACTTATCTACCCCTTCCCTCTACCTCTACTTATCTCCCCTTCCCTCTACCTCTACTTATCTACCCTTTGCTCTACCTCTACTTATCTCCCCTTCCCTCTACCTCTACTTATCTACCCTTTGCTCTACCTCTACTTATCTCCCCTTCCCTCTACCTCTACTTATCTCCCCTTCCCTCTACCTCTACTTATCTCCCCTTCCCTCTACCTCTACTTATCTCCCCTTCCCTCTACCTCTACTTATCTCCCCTTCCCTCTACCTCTACTTATCTCCCCTTTGCTCTACCTCTACCCCTTCCCTCTACCTCTACTTATCTCCCCTTCCCTCTACCTCTACTTATCTCCCCTTCCCTCTACCTCTACTTATCTCCCCTTCCCTCTACTTATCTCCCCTTCCCTCTACCCCTTCCCTCTACCTCTACTTATCTCCCCTTCCCTCTACTTATCTACCCCTTCCCTCTACCTCTACTTATCTCCCCTTCCCTCTACCTCTACTTATCTCCCCTTCCCTCTACCTCTACTTATCTCCCCTTTGCTCTACCTCTACTTATCTACCCTTTGCTCTACCTCTACTTATCTCCCCTTCCCTCTACTTATCTCCCCTTCCCTCTACCCCTTCCCTCTACCTCTACTTATCTCCCCTTCCCTCTACTTATCTACCCCTTCCCTCTACCTCTACTTATCTCCCCTTCCCTCTACCTCTACTTATCTCCCCTTCCCTCTACTTATCTCCCCTTCCCTCTACCCCTTCCCTCTACCTCTACTTATCTCCCCTTCCCTCTACTTATCTACCCCTTCCCTCTACCTCTACTTATCTCCCCTTCCCTCTACCCCTTCCCTCTACCTCTACTTATCTCCCCTTCCCTCTACCTCTACTTATCTCCCCTTCCCTCTTCCCCTACTTATCTCCCCTTCCCTCTACCCCTTCCCTCTACCTCTACTTATCTCCCCTTCCCTCTACTTATCTACCCCTTCCCTCTACCTCTACTTATCTCCCCTTCCCTCTACCTCTACTTATCTCCCCTTCCCTCTACCTCTACTTATCTCCCCTTTGCTCTACCTCTACTTATCTACCCTTTGCTCTACCTCTACTTATCTCCCCTTCCCTCTACTTATCTCCCCTTCCCTCTACCCCTTCCCTCTACCTCTACTTATCTCCCCTTCCCTCTACTTATCTACCCCTTCCCTCTACCTCTACTTATCTCCCCTTCCCTCTACCTCTACTTATCTCCCCTTCCCTCTACTTATCTCCCCTTCCCTCTACCCCTTCCCTCTACCTCTACTTATCTCCCCTTCCCTCTACTTATCTACCCCTTCCCTCTACCTCTACTTATCTCCCCTTCCCTCTACCCCTTCCCTCTACCTCTACTTATCTCCCCTTCCCTCTACCTCTACTTATCTCCCCTTCCCTCTACCTATCTCCCCTTCCCTCTACCTCTACTTATCTCCCCTTCCCTCTACCTCTACTTATCTCCCCTTCCCTCTACCCCTTCCCTCTACCTCTACTTATCTCCCCTTCCCTCTACCCCTTCCCTCTACCTCTACTTATCTCCCCTTCCCTCTACTTATCTACCCCTTCCCTCTACCTCTACTTATCTCCCCTTCCCTCTACCTCTACTTATCTCCCCTTCCCTCTACCTCTACTTATCTCCCCTTCCCTCTACCTCTACTTATCTCCCCTTTGCTCTACCTCTACTTATCTCCCCTTCCCTCTACCTCTACTTATCTCCCCTTCCCTCTACCTCTACTTATCTCCCCTTCCCTCTACCTCTACTTATCTCCCCTTCCCTCTACTTATCTCCCCTTCCCTCTACCTCTACTTATCTACCCTTTGCTCTACCTCTACTTATCTACCCTTTGCTCTACCTCTACTTATCTCCCCTTCCCTCTACCTCTACTTATCTCCCCTTCCCTCTACCTCTACTTATCTCCCCTTCCCTCTACCTCTACTTATCTCCCCTTCCCTCTACCTCTACTTATCTCCCCTTCCCTCTACCTCTACTTATCTCCCCTTCCCTCTACCTCTACTTATCTCCCCTTCCCTCTACCTCTACTTATCTCCCCTTTGCTCTACCTCTACCCCTTCCCTCTACCTCTACTTATCTCCCCTTCCCTCTACCTCTACTTATCTCCCCTTCCCTCTACCTCTACTTATCTCCCCTTCCCTCTACTTATCTACCCCTTCCCTCTACCTCTACTTATCTCCCCTTCCCTCTACCTCTACTTATCTCCCCTTCCCTCTACCTCTACTTATCTCCCCTTTGCTCTACCTCTACTTATCTACCCTTTGCTCTACCTCTACTTATCTCCCCTTCCCTCTACTTATCTCCCCTTCCCTCTACCCCTTCCCTCTACCTCTACTTATCTCCCCTTCCCTCTACTTATCTACCCCTTCCCTCTACCTCTACTTATCTCCCCTTCCCTCTACCTCTACTTATCTCCCCTTCCCTCTACTTATCTCCCCTTCCCTCTACCCCTTCCCTCTACCTCTACTTATCTCCCCTTCCCTCTACTTATCTACCCCTTCCCTCTACCTCTACTTATCTCCCCTTCCCTCTACCCCTTCCCTCTACCTCTACTTATCTCCCCTTCCCTCTACCTCTACTTATCTCCCCTTCCCTCTACCTCTACTTATCTCCCCTTCCCTCTACTTATCTCCCCTTCCCTCTACCCCTTCCCTCTACTTATCTCCCCTTCCCTCTACTTATCTCCCCTTCCCTCTACTTATCTACCCCTTCCCTCTACCTCTACTTATCTCCCCTTCCCTCTACCCCTTCCCTCTACCTCTACTTATCTCCCCTTTGCTCTACCTCTACTTATCTCCCCTTCCCTCTACCTCTACTTATCTCCCCTTCCCTCTACCTCTACTTATCTCCCCTTCCCTCTACCTCTACTTATCTCCCCTTCCCTCTACCTCTACTTATCTCCCCTTCCCTCTACCTCTACTTATCTCCCCTTCCCTCTACCTCTACTTATCTCCCCTTCCCTCTACTTATCTACCCCTTCCCTCTACCTCTACTTATCTCCCCTTCCCTCTACCTCTACTTATCTCCCCTTCCCTCTACCTCTACTTATCTCCCCTTCCCTCTACCTCTACTTATCTATCCTTCCTTCTACCTCTACTTATCTCCCCTTCCCTCTACCTCTACTTATCTACCCTTTGCTCTACCTCTACTTATCTCCCCTTCCCTCTACCTATCTCCCCTTCCCTCTACTTATCTCCCCTTACCTCTACCTCTACTTATCTCCCCTTCCCTCTACCTCTACTTATCTCCCCTTCCCTCTACCTCTACTTATCTCCCCTTTGCTCTACCTCTACTTATCTCCCCTTCCCTCTACCTCTACTTATCTCCCCTTCCCTCTACCTCTACTTATCTATCCTTCCTTCTACCTCTACTTATCTCCCCTTCCCTCTACCTCTACTTATCTCCCCTTCCCTCTACCTCTACTTATCTATCCTTCCTTCTACCTCTACTTATCTCCCCTTCCCTCTACCTCTACTTATCTACCCTTTGCTCTACCTCTACTTATCTCCCCTTCCCTCTACCTATCTCCCCTTCCCTCTACTTATCTCCCCTTCCCTCTACTTATCTCCCCTTCCCTCTACCTCTACTTATCTCCCCTTTGCTCTACCTCTACTTATCTCCCCTTCCCTCTACCTCTACTTATCTCCCCTTCCCTCTACTTATCTCCCCTTCCCTCTACCTCTACTTATCTCCCCTTTGCTCTACCTCTACTTATCTCCCCTTTGCTCTACCTCTACTTATCTCCCCTTCCCTCTACCTCTACTTATCTCCCCTTCCCTCTACTTATCTCCCCTTTGCTCTACCTCTACTTATCTCCCCTTTGCTCTACCTCTACTTATCTCCCCTTCCCTCTACCTCTACTTATCTCCCCTTCTCTCTACCTTTAATTATCTACCCCTTCTCTCTACCTTTAATTATCTACTGCAAGCGTTCCCCTTGCCTCTATCTATACATATCTAAGTTTAAGAAATGAGAAAAATGTTACCTCTCCATCATCTTCTAAATTATTTTCTTTCTTTAATTTCTTTAATTTAGCTGTCAAGAAATAAAGGGCATGCATACAAAAAGGTATAGCAGTTTAAAAAATGTTTGTATAGTATTTACTCTCAACTTCAGCCTGCTTTTTGGATTTGCTTCTATAGTTTTTGTCCTTTAAAGAACTAACATTTCAAGAACTAGACTAGTTACTTGGTTAAATCCAGTGGATAAATTAAATGGATACAGACCCCTTGCCTTTTGTTTTTTCTGTTCTTTGGCCAACTTTTTTCTATGTCCAACAAAGGTGAGGCTGTGTTCTGGATATCTGTCATAGTGAGACAACAGACCAGTGCTCAAGTACTGGTACTGGCGCAGCTAAAACACAACCAGTTACAGAAAAGTTAACATTAAAGAAAGTTAACATTACAGAAAAGTTAACATTAAAGAAAAGTTAAAACATTACAGAAAAGTTAACATTACAGAAAGGTTAACATTACAGAAAAATTAACATTACAGAAAAGTTAACATTACAGAAATGTTAACATTACAGAAGTTAACATTACATCCCTTTGTTGTAAACAGAAGTAGCTCTTTCACACTCATACAAAAATTGAAACTTTAATAAAAAAAATTGGATCAATAAAAAAATGTCTGGGAACATGCAATCTGGGTACACCCATTGTGTAAGTGAAGCAAGTAATATGTGCACATAAGGATATAACCCAAGTAATATGTGCACATAAGGATATAACCCAAGTAATATGTGCACATAAGGATATAACCCAAGTAATATGTGCACATAAGGATATAACCCAAGTAATATGTGCACATAAGGATATAACCCAAGTAATATGTGCACATAAGGATATAACCCAAGTAATTTGTGCACATAAGGATATAACCCAAGTAATATGTGCACATAAGGATATAACCCAAGTAATATGTGCACATAAGGATATAACCCAAGTAATATGTGCACATAAGGATATAACCCAAGTAATTTGTGCACATAAGGATATAACCCAAGTAATATGTGCACATAAGGATATAACCCAAGTAATATGTGCACATAAGGATATAACCCAAGTAATATGTGCACATAAGGATATAACCCAAGTAATTTGTGCACATAAGGATATAACCCAAGTAATATGTGCACATAAGGATATAACCCAAGTAATATGTGCACATAAGGATATAACCCAAGTAATATGTGCACATAAGGATATAACCCAAGTAATTTGTGCACATAAGGATATAACCCAAGTAATTTGTGCACATAAGGATATAACCCAAGTAATATGTGCACATAAGGATATAACCCAAGTAATATGTGCACATAAGGATATAACCCAAGTAATATGTGCACATAAGGATATAACCCAAGTAATATGTGCACATAAGGATATAACCCAAGTAATATGTGCACATAAGGATATAACCCAAGTAATATGTGCACATAAGGATATAACCCAAGTAATATGTGCACATAAGGATATAACCCAAGTAATATGTGCACATAAGGATATAACCCAAGTAATTTGTGCACATAAGGATATAACCCAAGTAATTTGTGCACATATGGATATAACCCAAGTAATTTGTGCACAAATGGATATAACCCAAGTAATTTGTGCACATAAGGATATAACCCAAGTAATTTGTGCACATAAGGATATAACCCAAGTAATTTGTGCACATATGGATATAACCCAAGTAATTTGTGCACAAATGGATATAACCCAAGTAATTTGTGCACATAAGGATATAACCCAAGTAATATGTGCACATAAGGATATAACCCAAGTAATTTGTGCACATAAGGATATAACCCAAGTAATTTGTGCACATATGGATATAACCCAAGTAATTTGTGCACAAATGGATATAACCCAAGTAATTTGTGCACATAAGGATATAACCCAAGTAATATGTGCACATAAGGATATAACCCAAGTAATTTGTGCACATAAGGATATAACCCAAGTAATATGTGCACATATGGATATAACCCAAGTAATATGTGCACATAAGGATATACCCCAAGTAATATGTGCACATATGGATATAACCCAAGTAATTTGTGCACAAATGGATATAACCCAAGTAATATGTGCACATAAGGATATACCCCAAGTAATATGTGCACATAAGGATATAACCCAAGTAATTTGTGCACATAAGGATATAACCCAAGTAATATGTGCACATAAGGATATAACCCAAGTAATTTGTGCACATAAGGATATAACCCAAGTAATATGTGCACAAATGGATATATTATAACCCAAGTAATTTGTGCACATAAGGATATAACCCAAGTAATATGTGCACATAAGGATATAACCCAAGTAATATGTGCACATAAGGATATAACCCAAGTAATATGTGCACATATGGATATAACCCAAGTAATTTGTGCACATAAGGATATAACCCAAGTAATATGTGCACATAAGGATATAACCCAAGTAATTTGTGCACATAAGGATATAACCCAAGTAATATGTGCACAAATGGATATATTATAACCCAAGTAATTTGTGCACATAAGGATATAACCCAAGTAATATGTGCACAAATGGATATATTATAACCCAAGTAATTTGTGCACATAAGGATATAACCCAAGTAATATGTGCACATAAGGATATAACCCAAGTAATTTGTGCACATAAGGATATAACCCAAGTAATATGTGCACAAATGGATATAACCCAAGTTATATGTGCACAAATGGATATAACCCAAGTAATATGTGCACAAATGGATGTTACGATGGAGAGGGAGGGTGAGAGAGAGGTTTCAAGGTGATGTAGGGTGGTGGGGGGATGCAACAATTGGATACACCTACTAACCTCAGAATCTTGATAAAATCTTGCTCTATGCCTTCTTCTGTGGCGTTGTAGTCTCAGCATAAAATGTACATCCTCCATTTTTAGAGGCATCTCATCATCTTCAGATGATGAGCTATCACTCAGTAATATTGTCTGAGTGAAAAGTTTTATTGTCAGCATATGTCATGTCATATTTCACATGGAACAGAACTGGGTTCATTTAAGGCAATGTCTCTCCTGTCATCTATCTTAATGTCAGCCTCCTGTTATCTATCTTAATGTCAGCCTCCTGTCATCTATCTTAATGTCAGCCTCCTGTTGATGTATCTAAGACTTAGAGGTTACTATAAACTGGTACAAACCCTAAGTTATCTTCTACTGTTTAAGAGAGGTTACCATACTATAAACTGGTACAAACCCTAAGTTATCTTCTACTGTTTAAGAGAGGTTACCATACTATAAACTGGTACAAACCCTAAGTTATCTTCTACTGTTTAAGAGAGGTTACCATACTATAAACTGGTACAAACCCTAAGTTATCTTCTACTGTTTAAGAGAGGTTACCATACTATAAACTGGTACAAACCCTAAGCCATCTTCTACTTTTCTTGACTTGACTTAGATTGTAGAGCCTTGTCTTATCAGCTTTCCGTTCTAAAAAAGTAAATGTTGATACAAGCATTCAATACAAGATTTGCTCCTTCCTATGGCAGTAGAATACAAAGGACGGACTCACCATAGTTAGACATAGCATGAAAAACCTGACTCTCCTCATGTTCTTTCAGACTTGACTTCAAGACATCTGTAACTGATGAGTCACTTTCATCCCTGGTGGTGGTCAAAACATTCAGCACAGTTAGGGGTACATGGGCTCTAACAACAGAGGTACATGGGCTCTAACAACAGGGGTACATGGGGTCTAACAACAGGGGTACATGGGGTCTAACAACAGGGGTACATGGGGTCTAACAACAACAGGGGTACATGGGGTCTAACAACAGGGGTACATGGGGTCTAACAACAACAGGGGTACATGGGGTCTAACAACAACAGGGGTACATGGGGTCTAACAACAACAGGGGTACATGGGGTCTAACAACAACAGGGGTACATGGGGTCTAACAACAGGGGTACATGGGGTCTAACAACAGGGGTACATGGGGTCTAACAACAGGGGTACATGGGGTCTAACAACAGGGGTACATGGGGTCTAACAACAGGGGTACATGGGGTCTAACAACAGGGGTACATGGGGTCTAACAACAGGGGTACATGGGGTCTAACAACAGGGGTACATGGGGTCTAACAACAGGGGTACATGGGGTCTAAGAACAACAGGGGTACATGGGGTCTAAGAACAACAGGGGTACATGGGGTCTAACAACAGAGGTACATGGGGTCTAACAACAACAGGGGTATATGAGGTCTAACAACAACAGGGGTACATGGGGTCTACATTGGGGTACATGGGGTCTAACAACAGGGGTACATGGGGTCTAACAACAACAGGGGTATATGGGGTATAACAACAGGGGTACATGGGGTCTACATTGGGGTACATGGGGTCTAACAACAACAGGGGAACATGGGGTCTAACAACAACAGGGGTACATGGGGTCTAACAACAACAGGGGTACATGGGGTCTAACAACAACAGGGGTACATGGGGTCTAACAACAACAGGGGTACATGGGGTCTAACAACAACAGGGGTACATGGGATCTACATTGGGGTACATGGGGTCTAACAACAACAGGGGTATATGGGGTCTACATTGGGGTACATGGGGTCTAACAACAACAGGGGTACATGGGGTCTAACAACAGGGGTACATGGGGTCTAACAACAACAGGGGTACATGGGGTCTAACAACAGGGGTACATGGGGTCTAACAACAGGCGTACATGGGGTCTAACAACAACAGGGGTACATGGGGTCTAACAACAGGGGTACATGGGGTCTAACAACAGGGGTACATGGGGTCTAACAACAGGGGTACATGGGGTCTAACAACAGGGGTACATGGGGTCTAACAACAACAGGGGTACATGGGGTCTAACAACAGGGGTACATGGGGTCTAACAACAACAGGTGTACATGGGGTCTAACAACAACAGGGGTACATGGGGTCTAAGAACAGGGGTACATGGGGTCTAACAACAGGGGTATATGGGGTCTACATTGGGGTACATGGGGTCTAACAACAACAGGTGTACATGGGGTCTAAGAACAGGGGTACATGGGGTCTAACAACAACTGGGGTACATGGGGTCTAACAACAACTGGGGTACATGGGGTCTACATTGGGGTACATGGGGTCTAACAACAGGGGTACATGGGGGTCTACATTGGGGTACATGGGGTCTAACAACAACAGGGGTACATGGGGTCTACATTGGGGTACATGGGGTCTTACAACAACAGGGGTACATGTTTTTTTTTTAATCAACTTACAAACTCTCAATATTTTCACAAACCACGGCTTCAACATATTTCATGAAGGGTTCCAAATTTAAGGCTGCTTCAAGCTGCTGAATGTGAAGTGGTTTGGCAAGCTGGCGCCCATAGTTGTGTTCCACAGCTGCCATCTGTGATAAGATCATCTTCTGAAAGACATCAATGGCATGACATACAACATCAGTGGCATGACATACATCAGTGGCATGACATACATCAGTGGCATGACATACAACATCAGTAGCATGACATACAACATCAGTGGCATGACATACAACATCAGTGGCATGACATACAACATGAGTAGCATGACATACAACATCAGTGGCATGACATACAACATCAGTGGCATGACATACAACATCAGTAGCATGACATACAACATCAGTGGCATGACATACAACATCAGTGGCATGACATACATCAGTGGCATGACATACATCAGTGGCATGACATACATCAGTAGCATGACATACAACATCAGTGGCATGACATACATCAGTAGCATGACATACAACATCAGTGGCATGACATACAACATCAGTAGCATGACATACATCAGTGGCATGACATACAACATCAGTAGCATGACATACAACATCAGTGGCATGACATACAACATCAGTAGCATGACATACATCAGTGGCATGACATACAACATCAGTAGCATGACATACAACATCAGTGGCATGACATACAACATCAGTGGCATGACATACAACAGTGGCATGACATACAACATCAGTGGCATGACATACAACATCAGTGGCATGACATACAACATTAGTGGCATGACATACATCAGTGGCATGACATACATCAGTGGCATGACATACAACATCAGTAGCATGACATACAACATCAGTGGCATGACATACAACATCAGTGGCATGACATACATCAGTGGCATGACATACATCAGTGGCATGACATACAACATCAGTAGCATGACATACAACATTAGTGGCATGACATACAACATCAGTAGCATGACATACATCAGTGGCATGACATACATCAGTGGCATGACATACAACATCAGTGGCATGACATACATCAGTGGCATGACATACATCAGTGGCATGACATACATCAGTGGCATGACATACAACATCAGTGGCATGACATACATCAGTGGCATGACATACAACATCAGTAGCATGACATACAACATCAGTAGTATGAGATACAACATCAGTGGCATGACATACAACAGTGGCATGACATACATCAGTGGCATGACATACAACATCAATAGCATGACATACAACATCAGTAGCATGACATACAACATCAGTGGCATGACATACAACATCAGTAGTATGAGATACAACATCAGTGGCATGACATACATCAGTAGCATGACATACAACATCAGTGGCATGACATACAACATCAGTGGCATGACATACAACATCAGTGGCATGACATACAACATCAGTGGCATGACATACATCAGTGGCATGACATACATCAGTGGCATGACATACAACATCAGTGGCATGACATACAACATCAGTGGCATGACATACAACATCAGTAGCATGACATACAACAGTGGCATGACATACAACATCAGTGGCATGACATACATCAGTGGCATGACATACAACATCAGTGGCATGACATACAACATCAGTGGCATGACATACAACATCAGTGGCATGACATACAACAGTGGCATGACATACAACATCAGTGGCATGACATACAACATCAGTGGCATGACATACAACATCAGTAGCATGACATACAACATTAGTGGCATGACATACAACATCAGTGGCATGACATACATCAGTGGCATGACATACATCAGTGGCATGACAGACAACCTCAGTGGCATGACATACAACATCAGTGGCATGACATACAACAGTGGCATGACATACAACATCAGTGGCATGACATACAACATCAGTGGCATGACATACAACATCAGTAGCATGACATACAACATTAGTGGCATGACATACAACATCAGTGGCATGACATACATCAGTGGCATGACATACATCAGTGGCATGACAGACAACCTCAGTGGCATGACATACAACATCAGTGGCATGACATACATCAGTGGCATGACATACATCAGTGGCATGACATACAACATCAGTAGCACGACATACATCAGTGGCATGACATACAACATCAGTGGCATGACATACAACATCAATAGGCATGACAATAGCATTGTGTAGATTCACGTAAATGCAATAAACAGTTTTTTCAGTACTCAATAAACTTTGGTGGAATGGATATTTTCTCAGGTCTAAATAAACATTACAATGCTATCGCAAGTAAATGTTAGTCACTTATGTGATTTGGATTTCATACGTCATACATATTTTAGAATAATCTGTAGTGAAATTAAGAACAGGCGCTGACACTCATTATTTGAGTAGCTACCCACAGAGGCAAATTTGTTGTTTCTGAATTAAAACTCAGTAAAATGTAACTGTTATTCCTTTCTCATCCATCAATATATGCATTTGGGTTTAGTCTTCGATATGAAATAATTGTGTTGGGGAAGAGCGACTGGCTATCTCCAGGGCACAGAAGCCCTGTGTGTCACTCGTATGTCCACACAGCCCTCAAATTGTTAATGCCATAGCCAGCATAAAATCCAAACATTTCTTTGTAACCCTATATAATTTTATATTTAATAATCTATATATATAATTCTCTTCTGGGTGCCGTTAGAAAACAAGCTGCAAGCGCCTCCTTGCAGTCCCCTCTCTTTCTCTCTATCACTATCAATATCACTACCACCCCACCCCACATTGTCTGGTGAGTTGTGGTCACGCTAAATGTTTACAAAGCTAAATGTTTACAAATCGTAGAGCCGTAGAGCCGGGTTTCTATTAGGGGCAGATAAATTAGTTCGATTTTAAACTTACAGGAGGTAACTAAGAAATAACTAAGAGGAGGCTGCTTTTACGGGGGGGGGGGGGGGTGGTGTAGGGTCGGTGTTATGGGAAAGGGGGGGGGGGGGTTAGTGTTTTAAAGCAAATATTTTCAGTGGCAGCATTGGTACTGTCGAATTCACAAATTATGAATTACTGAAAAGTAGAAAATAAAACAACTAAATAGCGGCGTATGATGCGCTGCGGGTCGGCTCGTATTGTATATAGGCCTAAGGTAATATATAATGTACTATAATTATTTTTTTGTACTCTCTACTTTACTTTATATTAATTACTGTAAGTAGACCTAAATCTAGATTCTAGATCTGGATGCCAATAATAAAGTTAATTAAAACTAAAGTTATTATGTCTTATGCAATCTATTAATTAATTTAATAAACATCTCTTTTAAATGTGTAAAATATTTATTTCAATTATTAAAATATAGGCCTAATCTAAACGATACGCAAGCAAAGGAAGGTGGCTACAGACACAAAAAAAAGAGATTTATCGCAAGGAGGATCGTCACTAAAAAAATCTCAAATTCTATATGTAGGAATACAAAATTACATATAGCCCTATAGTATTAGTGTAGAATGGCTGTGGAGTAACAAAGCACTTTTGGTTTGTTTCTAGAATCTACGTCAAACTGTTACAAAATAGCGCCTAGTTGTTTATTTTGTCTGTAGACATTAGTATTAGGCCTACACTGAATTAAGATTATTGTGTTTATGAAAATAGGTTTAAAGTTTAATTAGTTACATTTGAATACCACAACCCCGCTGTTTCATCTCCCACTAAGCACAACGTCACCAAGTTCGCGGCGTGACGTCATTTGTCATTAGGCTAATGTTAAACAAAATAGATACTGCGTAATTAAAAAAAAAATCAAAACACGCACTATTGCATTGAGACTTTAGCGACCTTTAGCCTGAAGAATAGATCTAAATGACTTTAATTTGGTAAATTATATTGGTGTTTAATACAAATTCATGTGACGTCATTTGATTAAATCACTAATTAAAGGGAAAAAAAACAAACATGACAATATGAAATGAAAATAGCAAACAAACAATAACAATTAACTCTAACTAATATTTAAATAAACATATGTAGTTAGGCCTATAGCTCTATAAAAATAGGAACTTTCTTAATGTATAAAAATTGCATCTCATAATAATAATTCTTGAACTGATGTTTATTATTGTCAGTCAATTAAAATTTTAAATTGTTCAAAGGCCAGAATTTTAAAAAAAACGCATGCTTTGTATTTTAAAACAAGACAATCGTATTTAATAGCAAACATCAATACATTTCCATACGGTAATTATCGTTTTGGGTACGTAAAATTGACCGCGGCTATTAATGTACAAAAACGTTAACTCATTGTCAATGCTTTAATAGAAGTCTATTGTGATAAGTTTGTGTCAAATATTATAATAAATGAATAATAAACCTAAATCAATGGCTAAATATATCAAAATAGGCCAGAAATTAACAGCAGTGTTTGCGAGCAAGATTTGCTATATAAACAGCAGCCATTTGTAAAATAGAGTGGCTTCCCTCTGAATCTCGCGCTATAAGATTATTAAAATAAAACTTTAACAAGATGGCTGCTATAGTAAATGAGCATGGTTGCATCTGTTGGAAACATCGCTAGTCTTCATTTATTACTGAAAAGTTGTAATTCAATTGTTTGAAAACAGATACATAAATGAAACAAGAAAACATTTTTGTATTTTAAAAAACATAAATCCTCCTCAAAATGTGAAATAATTATTCAAATTTAAGGAGTCACCTGTTTTTCACATTACAAGTCGCGGGCGATTTTACGTACCTGAAACGATAGTGTCGAAACTGTCGATAGATTACCTTCCATACAAATAGAAATTAAACAAGAAATTAAACCCATTTTTGTATTATTCAAAACATAAAATAAATCCTCCTCAAAATGTGAAATAATTACTAAAAAATTAGGGGGCCTGTTAAAATTTAAGGAGTCACCTGTTTTTCACATTACTAGAGTCTAGTTGCGATTTTACGTACTAGATCTAGATCTAGAATAGGGTAATCCCTTAGTTTAGCGTCGGAAATTATCGGGTAATGTTTGTTGAGTTTCGGTAAATAGAGTTACGGTAAACTATCGTTTATTTGACCATTAAAATATAAATAAATTGAAAGTCGATTGTAGTAAATTAATGTTTTAATTTTTTTTTAAGTTTAATCGAAAAAAGGAAACAAGAATAAATATAGATCTAATAGAAGTTTTAAATTAGTTGATCTAAAAAAAAACATATATTAATATAAATATAAATAATGAAGTCAAATGTAATAATTTAATGTTTTTGGCTTGCAGCGGATTTGCGACCATTAATTAATTAGATCTAGATCTAGCTAGATATCTAGCTGCTAGGCCAAGTTAAAAAAAATCTAGATTACGAAAATAGTAAAAATAATTACAAAATGTAAAAATGATTACAAAAATAAATCTATCCAAATTTTAAATATTCTGTATAAAAATAAAAGATGACGCCAAATAAAGTATGGTTTACAGTACTTCCGGTGAATTCCGGAAGTGTGTGACAGACTTTGACATTGTTTTACTGTTTTTTACTGCTATGGCAGGAAACAGATTGGTACCGCAAAATGCATATTCGGTCTTCGCCGTTCATAAACTTTCTAACTAGACATCGTTCGGGGATTTTGTTTATACTGATAAATAGAGCAAGGTTTTTACAAGCTTCGTTAGCAACATTTTTGTGGAATTCGTTTTTTATGACATTTTGTGTCGCGGCGAAGGATGCGAAGTATGCAAATCTAGACGGAATGGATCTACTTGGAAAGTACGTGTACTGCACTAATGAGGTAAGAAATAATATTTTGTAAAAATAACTATTATTTTTTTATGGATTTTTCATTAGAAATGATTGCTGTAAATTATGAAAGTAAAAAAAAGTATATTTGAATGCGTTTTTTTACTTTAATTTGAACAAAATGACTGCCGAAAATTACGACACATCGGCGTCGCTGAAAGCGGGAATTTCAGTTAATTTTTTACGGATATAAAATTGTATTTTTTTTACTCCGAAGCATGTATTTAAATAACAGTTAAGTTAAATCTATTTAATTCTGTAAAATATAATTATTATTTTGCCGTAGATACTTTTTTTTTATATTTTTAATGATTTTCTGTCGTGGAAAATCGGTATTCGCACCATGCACGCACACGTAGTAAAACTAGACTTATCTTTAAAACACGAGAATCTTGAGTACACTGCGAATAACAAAGTTTTTAAATTTTAGTTTACTTTTGACTTTAAGCCATTTGTTTTAAATCGAAATTAATTGATAATGTAATTATTTCAAAGTAAAAATTTTCCGTCGCAAATTGGGTTCTAACCTTCGCCACTGAACCAGCCTAGGCACGACATTCGCGCGAGTCTGTTTCTTCGCAATAGTCTGTATAGTGTCGAGGGCTAATTCTAAAAAGAATCGAGTCCTTACTAATCTAATGTTTATTAAAATTAGGTACAATTGTTGGAACGCATGAGAAATAACAAATTAATATTTCTTTAAATCTATAGCCAAAAGAAAGTAGAACTTTATAACTCTGTAAATTATGAATCGAGTGACGGCTGTCGTGAAAACGGGAGCCATTTTACTCTTTTTTTTAGGGTGACCTACTTTTATTATATAATTTTAAAATTCATCGATTTGATAAGCAGCTGAGTAGCTGACTACGCATGCGATATGGCTGGCACGTTTTGGGATAGGGATCGAGTACACCATAGAATTTTTTTTTCTTAGAACTAAGCGTATTTTTTTTTTTAAATCAAAAGATACTTACATATCAGTTGTTGATTTCAATTTCATTATAGATCTAATCACTAACTTCAGTTTTTAAAAGTGATTTTGCTTCTAGAACTAGCGTATTTTCAAAATTACGTAGATTCTAAATCTAGATCTATTCACTTACTATTTGACAACCGTGTCAGTAAAATGAGGTCACCGCTTCCAGATTCTTAGGTTTTAATTATGTTTGTCATTTTGATCTATTATAAGTAGCATTAAAACAACTGCATCTATTATCAACATTGTTTTTATATGCCAGTTCTAATTATACATTCTGTTCATTACCAATTCTAATGAAATCGTATCAGGCCCTAACACCCTGTTCACCTACACTGACACTACACTTGAATGACGCCACAGACAGTCGTAACTTTAAATTAATGTTCAAAGTACTAAACAATTATAATTAGCCATGTAAATGCTGCAACTATATTAAAAATTGGCATATAGACATATTTTATTAATTATGTTTTTTATATAGACCTTCTATATTTAACTCTGTTATTTTTTTCTTCCCCAGAGTGTTTCTAAAAGCCAGAATTTTAAAGGGGAGGGCGGTCGTTTTTTTCTCTCAAGAATAATTATAGAAATAAGCTATAAACTGGTATATTTTGTAAAGTTTGACATAATTACAAATAAATGTATGCCTAAGTGACATTTCTGTGTAATTATATCGTTAATTTTGTGAATTTCGTGGATTTTTGGACCTCACTACATTTAGATGTAAAAAAAAATCTCAGTTGAGTGAGTGTGGTTAATCTACATTTTGAACGTGATGTAAATGTCTAGTGCTATTAATTTTTATATTTTTGAATTCCTCGATTGTTAAGCAACAAAATTGATATATAATATGTCAATATTTGTTACTTTGAAAATTGGCGAAAATCGACCCTAAAAGTAGATGCTTGAGGGTTGAATCTGTTTCCTGCCCTATACGATTCCGGAATAATAACCGACGCTAAACTAAGGGATTACCTAGAATAGATCTAATTCTAATCTACCTAAAAACGATAGATGCTAAGATCTAGATTCTCTAGATTAGTTACTTTAGTAAGTAGATGTCAGATGATGATGAATCAAATTATTATAAATTAAATTAACTAGATTCTAGCCTAATATACTATTACTTACTAATAATTGAAGCGATTTCGATTAAGTCTCATTCAGTAACTTAGATCTAGAATCTAAATCAGTCAAATCTAGTTACTAGACTAGCAATGTCTAATCTATTAGTATCTAGTCTAGAATCTAGATCTACCGGAGTCTATACTTAACTATTAGATCTAATCTAACTAGTGCTCTGCTAGTTGAGTATTTGAGTATTTGAGTTTAGATAGATCTAGATGCCCAGATCTAGAAATAAACAGAAAGTACCGTAATACTCCGCAACTATTCTACTTTGATTAGGACTAGATCTAGATTAGACAGAGGCGTAGCGACACCTCCCGGCGCCCGTGGCGAACTTTCAATTTGGCGCCCCCCCCCCCATACGTATATATATATATATATATATATATATATATATATATATATATATATATATATATGTGTGTGTGTGTGTGTGTGTGTGTGTGTCAGAGGCGTATCCAGGTTTTCGTTGTAGGGGGAGCGAAATGAGCAAAAAAAAGGCGCCGAATATTGAACACGTTCTATATACGTGTATTATATATATATATATATATATATATATATATATATATATATATATATATATATATATATATATAATTACTAGATGTATGTCATTACTTCGCTATGATGTAAAATAAATTGTTAGAAGCACTTGTAGAAGTAAGAAAAAACACACAATGTAGGCCGACAAAACAAAAAAATGTATTAATCTAAACAAATATATATATATATATATATATATATATATATATATATATATATATATATATATATATATATACAACCAAAAACAATAAAGGCAACACAATCTGTTTTGTAATTCTTGTAAAAAAAATTTTTACATAATAATTCCTCGGACATTAATTAAGACAAGCGAAATAGGGGAAATAATCACGCTCTTAATATAAATATGTATATATCTACATATGTAATTAAAAATTTCAAAACAAATCAATTATTACTTAAGAATGTCATAAAGTTGTTTAACAATATTCGTGTTTACAAAAGATTTTGGTCTACAATCAGAATTAAATATATTGTTATCATAAAGTAAGCTAAAGTATTACAGCATAATGAAAGTTTTTTAAATCAGAGTTGGTATAAAAACACGCTTTAAATAAAATAGAAAAGCATTCGGAATAATAGCATACATTTAACCAAATTATCGGTTTTAGTTCAGATCACACATCTTTTCATTAACTACTGCTTTTGTGTTCTTAAAAGATCATTTTTTAACATAGTGATCAGGTATGGGCTCGATCACTGTATTGATCACACACCTTTTTACTGGTATTTGCAAAAACAATATTCACAGAGTTTTACCTGTTCCAAAAGCTATGATTCTGGCGGCACGGTACTTTGGTACATCGTTACGCGTTTTTCCGAACAGATCAGTTCGGGTTGGGTTAGGTCAATTATCCAATCCAGTGTACACCTAGGTGTGACATTAATGTCGCTCTACACAATTGTGGTGGTGAGGTGTGTGTGTGGGGGGGGGGGGGGAGTGAAAGATAACCAACTCAGAGTGAACATAGCGTCAGAGTTTTTAGATGACTGTTCTAAACATACATATTCAATTACACATATATACTGATTCAGAAATAGATTTAAAACAGTAGCAGTGGTATTGTGACAAAACTTTTTTTTACAGAGAATCCATGGGGGGGGGGGGTTGTAACTGTTTCATATAATTTGTAATCGTAATCACTACGCCCAAACTGTCATAATACTACTACTTCATCGTGATGACGTTGTTGACCTTGTCAAAATTTCCCCACCACTCACTACGCAGTTTGCCCATAAGTAAATTTAAATAGAGGTGCCACATCAGTTGTATTTGTGTCTGTATTGTAATTTTTTTAAAATTAATTACACGATTAAAACTGTATATATAAAGTAATTATGTGTGAAGATTTATGTATAATATTTTCTAGATCAATTATTCTTAAGCAAATACATTATACAGTTGCCTTAAACTTAACACCCCTCTTGCCAAGTGGTACTACCCGTAGAGGTTTTTTTTTAATTGCTATGCATCGTAATGGTTATTTTTAGAATGACAAACTTGATACAGCTGTTAATACGTGTTGTAAACGTAGACGCTACTAGACTAGTACAATTCTGCTTAATTGCTGCATGAAAAGAATTATTGTGATTTACATAGATGTGCCGACTAAAAATAATTTGTTTAAAATCATTGTTTAAAACTTAGAGTTTAAAAAGTTTCCAAAAAGGCGCCACTTTGCTGAAAATGGCCAGAGGGGGAGCGGCCGCTCACCCTGCTCTCCCCCTGCGTACGCTACTGGTGTGTGTGTGTGTGTGTGTGTGTGTGTGTGTGTGTGTGTGTGTGTGTGTGTGTGTGTGTGTGTAGTAATGTAAGAAAAAATATGCCTAATCTGAGTTTAGCAATCGCTAATAAAGTAATTTGTTTAGATCAGCCTTTTATGTTCTATCTTTGTAACATTTTCTTTTGTGATATGGTACATATTTGGATTATAAGTTTGTTAGAATAAGGTCATACAAGTGGCATACAAGATCAAGTTATCAGAAACATTAATTGTACGCATTGGAATACGACTTGCGGGTATTTCGTTGAGTGGTTGATTGTATAACGAAACAAGCTAGAGGAAACAAACTGGAATCCAACGGATGTTAACAGTTCGAAGTCTTGGATTTCGCAGATGTGCTCTGCCTTCTCGTACACAGTCAACAACAAATGCAAACTAATTGTACTGGTTAAAGAAGTAGTAATAACCAGTTTAATGACAGTGGCACCGCCCATGACGTTCTGATTAGAATCAGTATTGATAAAACGCGTTTTAATATTCTAAGCCAAGGTGGAATTAAAATTAATTGTCAAAAAATTTCAATTAGGATCTATAGCTAAATGTGAAGTCTCTTTTACTAGAGAGCTATGTTATAGACAGTGGAGAATGAAATAAGAGCATGGCAAAAATGGTGGTTAGGGTACTATATCAGAAAGACAGTAAATAACATCACTAAGCAGGTGCTGGTGTAAAGTCCACGGGGAGAGATGAAGAGAAGGAGACAAAAAAGTCCGGAAGGAAATCAATTGAAAAAGAGATGGAGCGGGCTGGATTATTAGGGTTCTATCTTCATAAAAATTAAGCGAGTTGACGAAGTGTTGCCTACGCCTATGCTCCTTAGGAAACCGAAACAAATAAAAACAAGAAATCAAAAGAGTTAGAGCAGCGGTTCCTAACATGGGTTCGATCGAACCAAAGAGGTTCTGTAAGTCAGTATCAGGGCTTCGGTGGAGGTCAAGGCACACACCCGACTCATTTGATTCACGATCAGATTTTGTCAATGTGGACGATCAATCTATTGAGAAGGGTTCGGTAAAGGCGCTTATGAAACTACTAGGGTTCGGTACCTCCAAAAATGTTAAGAACCCTTGCTTTAGAGTGTAGTTTGTAGAAGGTGCAAGCTTATTTGGTCTACTTTTGGTCGTGCCTTTAGAACAATTTCGATAATAGAGTATTACAGTTTGAAATTATCAGTTAGGTTGAATGCCTTAACTATATAAAAATTGCAGTATCAGGACTTGTTATGAAACACGCAATAAAAAATGATCTATTCGGTACAATATACTTATGTTTTTAGCTCTTAAAATTTTGGCAAGAGTATCGTCTTCCGCCCACTCGCTCCAACCGTATGCTATTTTACTGATCGGATAGTGATTCAAGAATCCGTGGTATTTATTTATCTTTAATACAGTGATTCAGGCAAGATGTAATGCAATCAAGTGAAAGTATCTGATCTCTCACGTTGAATTCGAGATAATCGTAAGAATCTTCCAAAGAACTAGTCGCGTCAGTTCTTAAAAATTTCATAAAAAACGTTTTAATAACAAGCTTTTATGTACTAATGCACTAAAAAGTAGAAAATAAATTATGCACTACAATTTAAATAACTATATAGAGAAGCGTGGGTCACTTTAGTATCTATCGGATGCCTCTACTAATGTTTAGGAAGAGACACGCGCTTTTCTTTATAGTTATTTAAATTGTAGTGTATAATTTATTTTCTACTTTTTAGTGCATTATTACACAAAAGCTTGTTATGAAACGTTTTTATAAAAAGAAAATTCAGTACTTTAATTTTTTACTTTATACAGAGTATAGAGGAAGTATTGTAATCGTGCACAAAAATCACATGAAATATTGACAGCTTTTCAAAAGCATATAACTTGAGTACTATTTCAGAAAGATAAATGAAATTTCACATGTAAGTAAAAGATCTAATTCTCCGCCTTCTTTCTTATTTTGAGTAATTTCCGTTGCCTGGAAGTAGTAATTTACGCTATTTCCGTCTTCTCAAAAAACTAATACGAATTTATAAAGTACTAATAATATTCCGCACCATTATACAGATATTGTTTTTCATTCACTTAGTGCGGAATTTTTTTTTCTACGAGATTCTATTCTATTTTAAAAAGTTGAAGTAATTAAAAATGGATTAAAAGTTGCCATCCCCCGTAGTGTTATATAAGAATTTTCGAGAAAGTCTAGGGGATATCACTCCCGCTTTTTAAAAACTTTACAATAGAGTTGTATGACTAAAAACCATTGCGCACCTAATGAACATGATGACGCGTGTCTAATAGTGCGGAATAGTTTGACGAGACAGCCTACAAATTTGGACAACATTTTAATTAATTCATAAAAAATTATTTAGGCATCCAATTAAGTCAACTTTAACGTCATGTTGCATTGTCTTTGTCTTGACCCACGTACCAACTATGAAACTAATCTATCTGTTAGAAATGCCCGAATTTTCGCTCGGGCGTTTCGATCTAGACAGACTGACGACAGAGGAAGCAAGTTAAATAAAAGCTTGTAAAAAAATTAATAAAAATTAATAAAAAACGTTTTAATAACAAGCTTTTATGTAATAATGCACTAGAAAGTAGAAAATAAATTATACACTACTATATTTAAATAATTATATTTCTTTTCTTAAAATTCCGCAAGGGAGGCGTCCCTATATACGTTGTATAAAAAATAAAAGTCGAATGCGGTTTCAGACCGTTCATCCGAGTGCCGTGAAACTTTGGGGAGTATATTAGAATACTCCCGAGAAGATTTCTGCGGGGAAGAAAATTCAATTTCGCAAGGGCGTCCCCCGACAGGGTGCGATTTGGCGCCCCGGTCTTTCCAGTGAGCGCTGTGGCGCCTACATTAGTTTTAAACAGCGCGATAGACTATGGATAAGATGAGGCGTTATAGTTAATCACTAAATTGAGCCCGGCGCGTTCACCGGCGCCCCGGCAGTGTGCAATTTGGCACCCCAGTCTATCCCGTAGGCACTATGGCGCCTACGTTCGTTTGTAACAGTGCAATATACTATGGATGAAATGGTGCGTTATAGTCGTTCACTACATTGAATCAAGCGCGTCCGCCGGCGCCCCGGCTTGGTGCTATTTGGCTCCCTTGCTTATCCCGTGAGCACCATGGCGCCTATGTTAACTTTAAGCTCCCGAAAGCACTCCTCTACGTCCCTGACACCTGGTAGGTCACTGAATTGTGTTCTACCATACTATTACTGAGAGTTATTAACGTACACTAAATTCTTTCATACACCACTCCCCGTGGTGGACGATAGTGTAGGTAAACTCTCGCCTTGACAAGTATGAACCTAGAAATATAGCACAGTTTTAGCAAACAAGGTCAGACGAATAAAGGATTGGAAACGTATTGCTGAATTATATTAATATATTTCGTCAGACTATCTTCGAAAACCCTCGGAAACGCGCGGGGCCGGGCACCCTAGTGTATTATAAAAAATGACGACTCGATATTAATTGTGCACTTGACCAATGTCCGAAGCATTTATAATAGACAGCATTTTTTTTCAGTTACGGACCATTTAGCCACTTTGCGAAGTGGTCAGGTTGTCCTGGCCAATGTTCAAAGTAGGTTTTGGTGTGTTGACGTTTTGATTGTTCTAGGCGCAGCTTCATTGTGAGTCATGCAATACATACATGTAAACTATGGAGAGGCGTCGCGAGGCGGGGGCGGGGGGGTGCAGACCGCACCGGGTGACACAATTTAGGGGGGGGGGTGACACCAAGACAAAAAAAAAGCAAGACATGAAATGTATAGAATAAATATGTGGTTTTTTTTGCCAGTTCAATGAATGGTTAATTAGGGTTAAAAAGTATTTGAAGTATATAATAACGATCCAGTCAAGTGGGCGGGGGGGGGGGGGGGTGACAACATGACGTAAACATGGAAAGTATTGAGAAAAAAATGCTAAACCCAGCTGTAATAACAACTGACCATAGATAAACATCATTAGTATTAAATATAAACACTTTAAACTTTAAACTGCAAAATTTACAGAGAAACACCCAAGGTAGCGACCAGTGTTTCTTCCAGACTTTTTTCTCCGGGGGGGGGGGGGCACTTGAAATTTTCGGGGGGGGGGGGGGCGGTAAACTTTCTTCGTGGGGGGGGGCGGACACTGTTGAAAGTATATATTTTCTATATAAATTATATACATTTCATTTCGTTCGGGGGGGGGGCGGTAAAAAAGAGATGTCTGGAAGAAACTCTGGTAGCGACGCCGCTGAAACTAGGGCCTACATTTGTTTGAATGGGAACGCAGGTCTGCGAAAATTAATAATAGTTCAAAATTAAAAATGAAATATCATATAGTGAAACTGTTTCTGTGCTTTATGCCTGCTTTGCGTCTTGTTATTGTTTAGATTTCTAGGCTTACAAAACAAAAAGTGAAAATAAAATGTGCAAAAGCCTACGATATTTTGAGTTTTTTGTATGAATGATAATCTTTTACTAGATCTATTAGATTACAGCTTAATACATTTTATGTCTAATTGCTTACTTGTTTTTTTTTTAAAGGTAGTGATTTATGTTTAAGTTTATACTAAAAATTAAAAACAAACACAAATAAACAAAGCAATAGGCCTACAATGTCACAAAATCCTGGCCAGCATTTAGAATCTAGATCTACGTCACGCTACAGCCATATTTAATAACCTCGTTTTCATCGTCCACCGAGAACCTGCAATTTTGGCGTTGAGCTTAGCCAACTAAAAGAAGCTAAATCTAGACCTAGATACAGAAACTATTTAGTCTTAGTAAAATACAGATTTTTTTATGAGAGTAAGTGCAATCTTGTCACAATGTTACAATGTTTATTTAAAAAAATATCTATTCGTTAGGTAGGCCTAATCTGTCGTTTTAGGTCTTAGGTTAGTGACTTATGAGTGAAGTTCCACAACCGGTCACACATACTGAATAGCGAACTCCTGACTTCATCGGGCGCTATTTTGTAACCGTTTAACACAGAAACAAACCCAAATTACCATATTATTCCTCTGCCTTTCTACTCTTAATATATATCAATCAATTTACATTCCTACGCATTGAATTTGAGATATTCATTTCATGTTCTAGTGACTTGCTACTTGCGTTATTTTTTCCCCCCTTTTTACTTTCTGGTAATCTATCGTTTTGGGTACGTAAAATCGCCCGCGATTTGTAATGTGAAAAACAGGTGACTCCTTAAATTTTGATAATTATTTCACATTTTGAGGAGGATTTATGTTTTAAAAAATTCAAAAATGTTTCCTTGATTCATTTATGTACCTGTTTTTAAACAATTGAATTAAAACTTTTCCGTAATAAATGAAGACTAGCGATGTTTCCAACAGATGCAACCATGCTCATTTACTATAGCAGCCATCTTGTCTTAAGTTTTATTTTTATAAGCTTTTAGCGCCAGATTCAGGGGGAAGCCACTCTATTTTACAAATGGCTGCTGTTTATATAGCAAATCTTGCTCTCAGACACTGCTGTTTAAAGTTAATTTCTAGCCTATATCGATATATTTAGCCATAGATTTAGGTTTATTATTCATTTATCTATAATATTTGACACAAAAGTATGACAATATACTTCTATTAAAGCCTTGACAATGAGGTAACGTTTTCGTACATAAATAGCCGCGGGCGATTTTACGTACCCAAAACGATAGATTACCTACTTTCTCAAGTATAGATCTAGATTCTAGATCTACGTAGTATAGAGAAAGTATTGTAATCGTGCAAAAAAAACGTTTTTCACCTCACTGATAAGGAAAAACATAATTTTGCAATCTTGTGTGTGTGTAAACATGATTACTTGAGTACCGTTACAGCGAGGTTGATGAAATTTCATAGGCCCTATATAAGTATTTTATCAAAATCATAGATCCGTATCAACTTTTGAGCGATTTCCGATAACCGGAAGTGGTACTTTTTCTACTTTGAATTTTTCAAAAGCCTATAACTTGAGTACTATTTCAGATAGATAAATGAAATTTCACATGTAAGTAAAAGATTTAATTCTCTACCTTCTGTTAAATTTTGAGTAATAACTGTTGACGGGAAGTACTAATTTACGCTATTTCCGATTTCTCAAAAACGCATCTAAATTTATAAAGTACTAATAATATTGCGCACCATTATGAACATCTTTATTCGGCGTTCGCTTGGTGTGCAATACTTTTTTCTATGAGATTTTATTTTAAAAAGTTTATGTAGGCTATTTAAAATGGATTAAAAATCATAACTATATCCCGAGTTCCCATCCCCTGTTGTTTTATATAAGAATATTCGAGAAAGTTTAGGGGAGATCACTCCCGGTTTATTTTTCCCTGCAGCCATCTGAACCAGCTAGCGTAACGATCATATTTTATACGTTTTAATCCCAGTTTAATAACTAAAATAAAAGATTTTACACTTTTAAACGTGTTGTTGATTGTATTATTAATTAGGCCTAATAGATTGCAAAACCAAATTAAAAACATGTTACCTAATTAAATTAATTAACAACATTAAAAGTTGACCCAGTGATGACTCAAGGGTCACTACTATAATAATCATAACAAAGGGACGTAACAACCACTAACAAGACATAACGTACCATTTGCTTAGATATGCTTGTATGTAGAGACACAAACTAGATTTAGAAGAAGTAGATGATCGAAATAATTTAAAACAACAGAAAAAAATAGAAATATACAGATTCTAGGCTTAGCTTGAAATATAGAGCATCTAGAACTAGGCTAGTCTAGCTCAAGTCGTTGGTTACGCAGCAATGTGAAACCACCCATACCGTTACCCAAGCTGCGGCCACCCCTATTAACCTATCAGGTTGCTTTATTAGCCTTATCTATCGTATGTTGTCCCGCACATATTGTAGAAGCTATTTATAGTTAACCTAGTTATAAAAAGCTTTGATTGGTTGGTTTTATTCATCTCAACATAGTGTTTTTCATAGGGGGAACTAGAATCATGATGTCATACCTCGAAACTTTAAAATTTAAAAACTCGACGTCCAGAAGGAGAAAAACAAAAGAATTTGACCTGGATATATTTAGAAATGGACAGGTTTACAGCAGATATCGGTAGTTTTGTCTAAAACATCAAAACAAATATTGTACGAAGCGATAAACAGGCGATGGCCGCGCCGGTGTTTTAACAGCGCGTGGAACTTTACTCTAGGTGCGTAAAAAACTTTTGCCGCGGCTAGACTACAAAACTAGTCTAGATCTAGATTTCTAGGTCTAGAAATCTGGATCTATGAGTAGATTTCCTCTGAACGGTCAAGCCTCGTAACGGTCATCGTCTGTTTATTGCTTCGTATAATAATTGTTTGGATGTTTTATATGAAACTGGTATCTGCTGTACGCATGTCCATTTCTAAATAGATCTAGATCTATATCCAGGTTAAGTTCTTTTGTTTTCTCCTTCTGGAAGACAAGTTTTTAAATTTTTATGATGAGGTATGACGTCAGCCGTTGATCCCAGTTCCCCCGGATGAAAACACTAGGTCCGGGATGAGACGAATAAAACCAACCAATCAAAGCTGTTTATAATTAGGTTAACTATAAATAGCTTCTACATATGTGCGGGACACAGTAAATACTATAACAAAGGATACTAAAGCAACCTGAGAGGTCAAATGGGGCTGACCGCAGCTTGGCTGACAATTCTGGTAGTTTTCCTCACAGCGTAACCAATGACTTGAGCTAGACTAGCCTAGATCTAGATGCTCTATATTTCAAGCTAAGTCTAGAATCTGTATAGTTTATACATTTTTCTGTTGTTTTAAATTATTTCGATCATCTACTTCTTCTAGAACTAGTTTGTGTCTCCACATACTAGCATGTCTAAGCAAATGTTAGGTTTTGTCTTGTTAGTAGTTGTTACGTCCCTATGTTATGATTATTAAAGTTGCGTCCCTTGAGTTATCACTGGGTCATCCGTGATGTGTAGTTAATAAATTTAATTAAAGTGTTTTTTATTTGGTGTTGCAGTCTATTAATTAATAATACAATCAACAACACGTTTAAAGGTGTAAATTATTTATTTTAGCTATCAAAATTGGATTAAGATGTATAAAATATGTTCGTTACGTTAGCAGGAAAAGGTTTGGCAGGTAAAAAAAGGGGGAAAAAATATCGCAAGAAGGCACATCACTAAAACATGAATATCTCAAATACTATGGGTAGGAATACAAAATGACTCACACATATTAGAGTAGAATGGCAGCGGAATAATACGATACTTTCAATTTGTTTCTGTGTGAAACGGTTACAAAATAGCGCCCGATGAAAAGCGGGTGTTGGGAATTTTTTGCTATGTGTGACAGCGTTAGGAAATCTACGCTAGATCTAGAGTGAAGTTCCACAACCGATCACACATAGCAAACTCCTGACTTTCATCGGGCGCTATTTTGTAACCGTTTAACACAGAAACAAACCCAAAGTACTATATTATCCCTCTGCCATTCTACTCTTAATATGTATATATTTCAAGCCTAGAATCTGTATAATTTCTTTTTTTTTCTGTTATTTTGATCATCTACTTCTTCTAAATCTAGTTTGTGTCTCTACGTACAAGCATATGTGATTTATACTGTTAATATACATACAATAATAAAGCTATTAGTATTTTTTGTCGCAAAAACGGATCACCTATTTAGTAATAATAATCAGTGTAAGAAGCTGAATTCACTAAGTCAAAAAAAATTACGATACCAGTGAGTCAAAAGAGTGACGTCATAAATTTTGACTTGACAACGTGACCTTTGGTATCGATACAACCATCTGGATGTACCCAATACACAACAACCGGCAGCAGTAGGATAAATGTACCTATGCGTCAAATCGGTATGTCGTGAAAACGAGACTGTCTGCGTTAAAGGGTTAAAGAGAAGTATTAAAAAAAAGTTTAATGATTTACGATTGAATCTCTAATTAAAGAAAAGAAACATGTTATAGCCTGAAAGAAAATAGCAAACATGTAAACAATAAGAAAAAAAACAGTGTAGTGATTTTCAAATAAACATTAGTACAAAAAACGTGATTTTATAAATGGATACAAGTTGCATCTCACACAGGGATGTGACTTTACCGAATTTTAGCGGAAATCCGATTTTCCCGTTTCAGTTGCGATTTTCCTCCGCTGATTTAATTTTCGCCGAATTTTTTCCGCAGACTTTCAATTTTTGTCGATTTTTTACGAAGTTTTAAAAATTAGGAAAAAAAACGGAAATGTCTTCTACGGAAAGGGCCGACATGCTCATTCCACTTAATCGTATTTAAATTTAAATCGACAACTACTGTACTTCAGTCAAACGGACAGTCGAATATGCGAATTTCTTTTCGATTGGTCGATTGCGCTAGGTCTGACGGTGCTAGATCAAGATTAAATGTAGATTAAGATTAGGAATTTCGGCGGACTTTTTCAAAGCGCAATTTGTTTTAGTCCTAATTTTCCACTGATATTTTCAGTTAACTATTTATTTAAAACACGGGAAAAGGTAATCTAAAATAATGCAGTTATTCAGTTATTCAAATGCAACTTACATCTCTTAAGCCTGGTAATCTAGCTATCGATATAGCCTAATTTATCTATCGGTATTTTAACCCGCCTAAATCTACAGTTTCTCTCTGATTCTATTTTATTTCGCAATCTCAAATTAATATTGAAAATGAAATCCTTGCAAAAGGTGACTATGAGGACTAGACTAACCCTCCCCACCTCGTAGCAACGGTGGCTCTTGTGACCTCACCTTGACCCCAAGTACGTGTTCGGTACTGCTTGTGGGGGAAAAAAATGACGTCACAGTCAATTTCAAATAGCTGTTCCTGCAATACGTATGCTTCGTAGGCCTACAGATTAAAAAAAAATACTTACTCAACGTGACTGCGACCGTGTCTTGTTTGTGGAAGAAAAAATACGTACAGACTGTTTTTTTTTTTAAATTTTTAATAAGGGGTCTTCCATAAATAACGTCACAATCGTAAGATAGTGTAACATCATTTTTTGTATTTTAAAAAAGTAATGTTAGAAACAACTGCATTTTAGCCACTATTACGCGTTTTAGAAAACTGTTGTAAAACATTGTAATAGAAATTGAATAAAATACCCTATGTTGGTCGACCTCAGTCAGTATTTTAGAAAAAAAAATTCAATTCGAGGAGGGGGTGGGAGCATTTGTTGGCTGAGGTGAGACGTCATTATATGGGGGGTGGGGGAGTCTGGCTTTTGTAGGAGAGAGGGGAGGTAAATATCGAAAAAAAAAACCGTGGATGCCCCCTAATAATTTACAGCTATTCCAAAAAGACATAAATATCGATGTGGCTTGGCTATCAAAATGATTAACTTTGGTTCACACATCAGACCCTTTCTAATTTTAACTAACCTGATCCATTTCATTTTTCCATCACATGAACCTAAAACTTTCAAATTATAACTAATCTTTATCTAGGCTCTTTACAGTTGAAGACAAATATTTTTACCAATCCAATCTTTAAAAGAATATATATTAGGCATCAGGCCCCCTATTTAAAATTGAAAACAAGAGTAAATCTACACTAGATTAGTACAGTTTAAATTAGCTTAATTGTAAACTAAAACTTTATTGCTACTTTTTTACATTGTAATTTTTTTTTAAGTTGTTTATAAGGTAAACATTAAATTGCAATTAGACAAGACTTTTATTACTTTCAGTGTTATTTTAGAGTAACATAAACTTCTTGTTTTTAAAATATTAACTTCATTAAACAATTAATTAGTACAGTAACAGTATAAAGCTGCTTAACTGCGGTTTGACGCTGCTTAACTGATAAAAAGTAGATAAAACATAGTTATTATCCGATGAAAATTTCCTAATTTTTTTTCCTGGTCTGGTCACATCCCTGCTCACAATACTCCTAGAATTGATGATGTCGTTAGTTAGCATACTCATTTTCGAAGGACAAAATTTAAGCAAAAAAATGAGTTGTAGGCTTTATAAACAAGACAATCATATTTAAATGCACAATCAATAGGCCTACATTTTCATAGAAATGATAGGGAAGCTACTCTAAATAATATTTTCTTGAGATGACTGTGCTTAATAAAAAATTTACTATCTCGAACAGGTTTCATAAAATGTAATTTTAGGATATTTAAATTTATTTAACCATTAATGTCGATCTGTTATTCAATTTGCTATATTCTATTAAAATATACGAAAATATACTCATGTTTAAAGACATATTCATTAATTCCCTCTCTCCACGACGCTAAACTTAGGTTTTATCAAAATTAATCTAGCTCTAGTGGGAAACAAATGAAAATTTAAATAAATATGTTTGCAAAAGATTTTTTAATGCTAATTCTAATGATAAATAATGAAACAGGGGTGGTTCTTTTATGTAAATTTACATTAATAATTGTTCATGCTTGTTTCTGTTTGGTGGTATGCTTTATTTTCAAACATGTACATTTTTACTATGAATAATTATATAGGAAAAAACATGTGCGATGGTCTAAATCTTGAAAAATTCATAAAAAAAGACTTTGTATCCTAAAATGAAATAAAAATTTGTTGATAAAATAAGAACCACAAGTGGTTTATTTTATTCAGTTTGTAAAGTTGTTAGTGCTGGCAAGTGTTTATATATTAAGGCAAAAATTACAGAAAATGAAAAGTAATTGCACTAGGTTATAACTAAACATTAGTAGATTTTGAAAATGTAGTTGTATTAATTTTTAAATTAATAAGAGACCGTTGTAAAAACAAAATTTGGAAAATCACTCACAGCTATGACACCTCATACTTTCCAATACAACCATGTTATATCACCCTTGTGTTTGAAGCTAAAGAAAACCACAAATCCTGTTAGACTTTTCAACTTGCTATGCACCAGAGTTCCTCACAGTGATCAACAAATAATGGCCACATGGTTTTTGTTTTTAATTTGGTTGTCATTTGCTTGGCCAATTTTTATAAAAAAAAAAGGCTGACAAAATTTGATTTAATTTTTTAATAGACTTAAAAAACTTAATAATGCTTATGGAAATCATTTATATTATATTACATTATGTAGGCCTATATTAAATTATAGTTATAGGCTATTCAATGCTATTCAGTAGGCAATTTGGAGTTGATATTACAAGTAGTTTAGTAGTTTCTGAAAGTTTTTCTTAAAATTGTATGTAACAATGAATATTTTCCTCCAACTTTAATCAGCTGACAATTTTAAATATTGTAAAAAACAAGTTAATTAAAAAAGTCTAGTGACATTTGTGCGCAATTTCCTTATGTTATCTAAAAATAGCTCTGACGTATAATGTTGGGGTGCGTTCAAGCTAGAAGAACAATCGGTTTGTAGGTGTTTATGTAATTTTAAAATTTGTGACCGAACGAGAGAATATTTTTGAAAACTTTCTTCGGCAATATTGTTCTAAATTATGACAGGAATCGATTGGTACATGTTTCAAGTCGCTAAGTGGTCTGGTTGCCGAGATATGGGCCAAACACTGCTTTTTTTCGAGATTTTTTGGCTTTTCTGGGAAATCCATGAAAGAAACCCGGAATTTTTATGGCCTATGTTCATCCTCGTAACTTGCTTAACATAATTGCTTTTGGAACTAGTCATCGATATTGCTTCGTTGAGGAGGAGATACGACTTAAAGCTGCGGACACACATTCATCCATCCATCCATCCAGAAATGACGGGTTAATAAACGCAATTCTCCAGAATGGAAATTGCGCTAAAAAATTGTATTAATGTATACAAATGATGTACATGTTATTTTCTTTTAAAATAATACACTTTAGAAATGAGCATCTGATTAGTCTTGTAAAAATTGTATTTGTCTTGTATTTGTAAAAATGTGTTTCCCACATACCCTTGCCTGCCCCAGTGAGCCTCACATGTGTTTTGACACACTCAACTCATCTTGGCATATCTGCGTCTTACTTTCATCACCAACATGTGTTTTGACACACTCAACCCATCTTGGCACATCTGCGTCTTACTTTCATCACCAACATGTGTTTTGACACACTCAACTCATCTTGGCACATCTGCAGTTTTACAGCACTGCCTTGTTGACTATATTTTGACCGATCCTTATTGTTGATGCATAAATAGTGAGCTAGTGGCCGACTTGATGCATGAATTAGTTTTACTTTATAGAACTGGATCACAAGATTGGTGCTGATGCAGATATCTTGCTTTTCAGAAAAGTCACTTTATGTATTTTTATTTTACCCTGCAGAATGGGAACTAGAGTATATATTGGACGGCTGTCTTACCATGCACGGGAAAAAGATATTGAAAGATTTTTTCGAGGTTATGGAAGGATTCGTGATATCATGTTAAAAAATGGATACGGATTTGTGGTGAGTAGCATAAATCTTTATTACTGCGTACTTTTTGAAGGTAAAGAATATACATTTTTCAGTCTAAATTTAGGCACTAGACAAATTATTCATGTTCTAAGTGGAAATTTTGTTTGTTTAAAGGTAATGACTTAATAGTTTTAAAATACATCCAATTTTAGTAAGACATATTTTTTCACCTGTTAAAGACAAGTTGAATTAGAAGCCATAGAAATGTGTTCCAAATGTTCAAGGTGCTGCACTTGTCTGGTTGTGCTCCCCATTTATTTTGTTTGTTTAGCAATAGTATAAGGCAAGATGGGCTTGAACCAATGATAGTGTCTTGACAGGCAGGTCTCCGGATCAATAGACTGCACGTTTATTAAACCAAAAACAATTCACTAATGTACATCAATAAAAGCATAGGTCATTATACTTAATTGAAAATGATTAGGATCATGTTTGATACATCTCTACATACAAATTAAAATGTATACATTTAATTTTTATGGGCTACATAATGTACATGCATAGTGCTAATGGTGGTTTAATACATTACAGTATTTTTCTCTCCTGTCATGAGATTTGCTGCTTAAATTTACCCAATCCTACATATTAATTCTAGGTTATAAATAAAATAACTCACATTTAAGTATGTTGTTTAATTAAAACTCAATTAATGTCAATAAAAACTGTTCTTTTTTTCCCACGTTTTCTTTAACTTGCTTTCGTCTCTGTTTTTCCGATCAAATCTTGCGATCGAAATTTCTGGCACTTCCCAGTTAGCTAGCGCGCTGAAATTTTCAGGGAAGCTTTGTTTTGGATGACAATAGAATATTCAATTGTTATTATTACTAAATTGATCCATGGAAACATTTTATTGAGCATTTTAGACCGCTATATAATTGTAGTAAAAACGTGGGGAAAAAGGGACATCACCCAGTAACTGTAATTTGATGAAAACAAGGTTCGGTACTCTCCCTCTTTGCTTACTGAGTAGTGTTCACGCGGTGTTTGTGTACAAACAACCCTAACAACTGGTGGCCAGTATGGGGGGACGATATGGTCGAGTGGTTGGGCGCACGATTGCTATCCCACTCGACACGGGTTCAAATCTAAGTGTTCTAGTCAGTAAGTTCAGTAACGTATTCACACAACGTGTTTTTTACGAGTTGTCTTCGTTTACCCAAAAAAAAGTGAAAAGATAAAATCGATAGCAAGATTTTAATGCAAACAAACAGACAAAGACTAAAAAGTAGAAAATAATAATCATTAAAAAAGTTTTAAAAAACCCACGTTTTCTGATTGAACTAAAAAGTAGAAAATAAATGCTATACATCACAATAATGCAAGCGATCACTCTACTATAAGCGATCAAAAACGTGGGGCGCCGTGATTTTCTTACAGTTTCTTATACTGTTGACTCTCTACAAGCTCCCTAATAAAAGTCAATAGTATTATCTAATCAATAGTAATATAACTTTTACTTCGGCGCCCCACGTTTTTCATCGCTTATAGTAGAGTGATCGCTTGCATTATTGTGATGTATAGCATTTATTTTCTCCTTTTTAGTTCAATATGAAAACGTGGGTTTTTTAAAACTTTTTTAATGATTATTATTTAATAACATTTGTTGACGATCTAATGCTAGATTATTTTACCAAGTGTATGTTTTTAAAACGAAGGTTAACCTTTGTTATTATTAAAGAACTTTCTTATACATTACATTGTTCTGATTTTTGTTAAATTGCTGAATAAAGGTGTAAGCTTCGACTTAAACAATTTTATCAATTCAATATTATTATTTTTTTACAATTCAGTAATAGTTACTAATATATAAGAAAGTAGAAACATAATTAACAATTCCTTTTGTGCTCACAAGCTAAGCGGAAATAATGGGTATTTAATTTTTATAGGTATACTTTAGCAAATTGCGCTTTTTTTTTTAAGGAAACTGTTTATTTTGAGTGACTACAAGCAGTAATTCTGTTTCTATGTTTTTAAAGGAATTTGATGATTATAGAGATGCTGATGATGCTGTATATGAACTTAATGGAAAAGAACTTTGTGGAGAAAGGTATTTATAAACGTCTGCATTTTAAAAAATTTTACTTTCTTTTCTTGTTCATATTGGTTTTCAGAAAAAATATGTGAACAACTTACATTTTCCAATGTCTATGAGAATAATTGCTGGTTTATTTTCACTATGTTATAACACTGTTTTTTTTTTTTTTTTTCACACAAATTAGAGAAACTGGCAGTGGCAATCAGCGTGTTTTGAATATCCTACATAATGTCAGATATTTTTACTCCTACTTAGCTTTAATGCCAACAACAATCTAGATTGGACACCCATAACTGTTTTATAAATGTTCATTAAAGAGCAATTCTATTAGTTAGCAAGTTAACAGCCACTATCCCAGGGATAGCACAAAATATTGAAACTTATTTTCTTCATCTCACTAGTAGAAACCAGTTTAAGAAAATACAATTTAATATATTTGTGTATTCATTTTAAAAATTCTTGTTTATAAATTGAGCTGTAACTTTTCTCTTAATTTCCAGAAATCTGCCTTTTCCATTTGAGAAAAATTTTCTATTTAAAAACAAATTTTCTGCTGACATTTTTACCGAAGAAAATCTGAAATCTTTTACATTTAACTTTCATCAAAGCCCCTAGTTAGAATGGTGTCTAAAAACAAAGTACCATCAATAGTTTGAGAAAATATCTAATCACTGCCCTTGTCCCCTCCAACCTCTCCCCGGCATGCTTTTTAAATACATTCCGTTGTATGCATACTTTTAACAATGGTATTTAAAGATTGATATGAATTGTAAAGTCGTGTGAATTGAGCAATTGTAGTGCAAGTAAAGCGGTATGGCAGCCGGGTGTAAATATTGTTTTGATGGATAAGTCAAATAGAGGCTTTATTACCTGCCATAGTGGCTAGCAGTATGCTGACTGTAGCTGGATTGTATTGAAACTCGCAACTATGAATTTATAAATGTTTACCTTTGATGTTGTTGCAGCTTTCAGTCTGATTAGTGGTTGAATGTTAAAAGCTGAAGACATTGTTTACCTTTTGTTTTTTCAGAGTTGTAATTGAACATGCTCGTGGTTCTGGGCGACCCCCAGCTTCTAGGTCTAGAGGCTCATCTGCTTGGTTAGACAAGTAAGATTAATGTCCCACCTTCTTTATGCATTTTTCTGTTTCCCTTCAGAGTGAGTGTAGAGCACGCCCGAGGGCCGCGCAGTGACGACTCGTTTCGTGACCGCGGCTTTAGAGGACGCCGAGGTGGTGGTGGTAGGCGGGACAAGTAAGCAATTTTGGTGGAAGAATCATTTTCCACTTGTTCAGTTTTTAAATCAGTGTTTTCCTTGGTTTCTGCATTCTGCCTGCCTTTCTCTTCTCTTGAATGGGAAAACAGAAAAAAGCTTTAAAAAAAATTTAATCTGATGATCTTGATGGTTCCAATTAGTTTTCTCATGTACACACTTGGGAACATTGTTATGAATCAATGAGACATGTTATTATAAAAATGAGGGTTTTGTACCCTTTACTACTACTATAGCTGTATTTGATTGTGTGTTGTCTTAGTCTGGTTTTGTCTGAATCTTGTGTGACTATTAATCCTCAAGTTAATTTTATTCAATAATTTCTAGTTCCCCTCAACACTGATGCTGAGGGGATTCAAAAGCACTTAGGCTCTGATCTCTCTGGTTTTAGAATGGTCTTGTTTTGATGAGCAAGATATCATTTGGTGTATTAGTTGCTACAGGCCAGGTGAAATTTTATGTGACAATGATGCAGGAACTGGTTAATATTTCTCAACTCAGTACTGCTGTATTCACCTGCAACCAATGCTTCTTGATTTGACTGGTACAGAGCTTGCTTTACATAATTAGGAAAAATTATCTGGTTAGATAACAAGAATGTAAAGGAAACGACTTCCCAATTTCATCTACTTGGATTTGTTAGAGGAAGTCAGTGATAGAGCTTTGCCTCTACAAAGGGCTAGAGAATTGTTTGTTGTTTAGATTGATACCAATCTGATGTAGACAAATTTACATCTATTAGATCAATTTAAATGAGTTGTTAGGGTTGAATGACTTTGGCAAACTCTGGATATCAGGATTCTCGTAGCCTGCATCATTTATTGTCACACAGATTGCTCATGAGTTTAGTATTAATGCATATAATGAGGTCAGCAGCTTGATTTACTTGTAGCATGATGAAAACCTTTGCGTGTCATTTGACTCTTGTCTTGAATAAGGGGTATGATACATTAGGTATCTGAGCTCAAGTATTGTCTGTTTGCTTAGATGAATGAGCTAGTAAAATGCTTGTCTGTTTGCCTAGATGAATGAGCTAGTAAAATGCTTGTCTGTTTGCCTAGATGAATGAGCTAGTAAAATGCTTGTCTGTTTGCCCAGATGAATGAGCTAGTAAAATGCTTGTCTGTTTGCCTAGATGAATGAGCTAGTAAAATGCTTGTCTGTTTGCCTAGATGAATGAGCTAGTAAAATGCTTGTCTGTTTGCCTAGATGAATGAGCTAGTAAAATGCTTGTCTGTTTTCCTAGATGAATGAGCTAGTAAAATGCTTGTCTGTTTGCCTAGATGAATGAGCTAGTAAAATGCTTGTCTGTTTGCCTAGATGAATGAGCTAGTAAAATGCTTGTCTGTTTTCCTAGATGAATGAGCTAGTAAAATGCTTGTCTGTTTGCCTAGATGAATGAGCTAGTAAAATGCTTGTCTGTTTGCCTAGATGAATGAGCTAGTAAAATGCTTGTCTGTTTGCCTAGATGAATGAGCTAGTAAAATGCTTGTCTGTTTGCCTAGATATGGACCACCTACTCGCACAGATCACAGACTTATTGTGGAGAACCTTTCATCCCGCGTCAGCTGGCAGGTAGGTTTGTCATGGGCTTGTCCTCATTAGCTGGCTCATACCAAACTCATTCCATTGTTAGGCTGGGAGGTGGGACAAAAATTGAGCTATTTCTACAACCTAAATCATCACTAAAGACCTATTCTTCTCATTCCCCATAAGCCTCCTTGAGCGATGAGATGAAGAAGACAAGGGCACTGAATTGATGTCCGGACTAAATAGCTCTCCTTATGAGATGATGTCTGGCTGAGGGAATGTTCTGGCTGTGACTGGGGGTTCTGGCTGGCTGCCAGGTCTGGGGGGTACAAATACATTCCTGTGTCAGCCAGATGGGTTAAACTGACACATAGAAGTCATGGTACAGACATCAGTGATGTCCTATGGGGGGGTCATCCCTGATGATGGTGCTGTGACCTGCCTGTGCAGGATGTGTAGTTGTAGTGATGATGAAAGAAGTGATACATAAGATGTCGACCCATGGTACTGGTTGAATGATTATGGGCCTTCTTAGACTGACTGGCTAGGCCTCTGTAAAAAATAGAGAGGTAATACACTTTGTTTTTTGAAGTGTTATCTCTTTGACTTACTGCAGACTGAGGTGAATTGTCTACTTCTATAGCCACTAGTAAACTTAATGTAATGCTATAAGTTGTAAAGATTAGTTTAGTTGACGTAAGATTGTAGCATTGACAATGTCAACTCATTCAACTGCCTTTCCTAGGATCTTAAAGATTACATGCGACAGGCAGGGGAAGTCACTTATGCTGATGCCCATAAAAAGCATAGAAATGAGGGGTAAGATTTTCTTTTAACCTATTACAGTCCTATGTACCAGCGGTCGCCCAGAAAATTTTTGAGTAGTACAGTCCAGTGCGTATGTTGTCTCTAAACTATATATGGTACATTTATTTATGTCTCGTTGAAAACTACATTTTGAAGTTGCAAATCAGTATTAAATTTTACTTAATTGAATGCTTAATTTTCTATAAATTAATTAATTAAAATTTTGACCAAATTAGTTGGCAGTCTTACCCAACTGTTCCGCCATATTAAACACGCGTTAACATGTTCATTTGGTGTGCAATGGTTTTTAGTCCCGCAACTCTTGTATATTTTAAAAATTTAAAGTACTGAAAAAAAATTCATAAAAATAAGCTTTTATGTAATAATGCACTAAAAAGTAGAAAATAAATTATACACTACTATTTAAATTACTATATTAAAAAAAAGCGGGGTTTCTTCCAAAATATTAGTAAAGGTATCCAATAGATACTAAAGTGACCCACGTTTTTCTTTATTGTTATTTAAATAGTAGTGTATAATTTATTTTGTACTTTGTAGTGCATTATTACATTAAAGCTGGTTATTAAAACGGTTTTTATGAATTTTTTGTTTTCGCTAGTGGTCAATTTTCTACAATGCAACTACATTTAGAGAATTTTTCAAAATTATGAGCAATATTATTAGTGAACTAAAATCTAATTTGAATGGCTTTGTTCTAGTGGGCTTTATTCACAATGTAACTAATACAGTGATATCAGCTCCAGGGACTTCAGTTGGTTTTTTTTTTTTTTTTTTGCATTTAAAAAAATTGGAATATTAGAATTAGCTTTCTAAGTTTTTTGAGGTAAGTCCACTAAAGAGCTGTATACTGAACAAAATAAGAATCAAATGCAATTTGACAAGATAAGTTTGATCATTATTGTTGACACGAATAAATAAAACAAATATTAAAACCTTTATTGCAACAAGCTTTTATATGCACTGATAACAAGAAAATAAAAATAATTTACTTTCTTTAATAAAAGCTTTCGTCACTAAAATATGTAAAACTAGTTAAAGATCTCATGAGCGACCAAAGCTTTGATTAAAAACATGCTAAGCCAATCTTTAGTAAAATTTAACAAAATCCTTATAGGCTACTAGTTTTATAACAACTCATAATTTTAAAAAAATATAATTTTTAAATTAACCGTTTAAGACTATGTACAGTTGCGCCCAAACCATTCTGCTAATTTTCCTTTTAGGGTTTTTGAAAGTTTCTAATTTTGTGTACTGGGGATTGATTTTCAGGATACACTTAAAAAATGGCACCCCTAAGATTGGGTTTAAGGCAAATAATTTTAGTCATATGTATTTATTGAGTTTACAAACAATGCAAAAAAATTAGTTCCCTACTGTTCTTTTCTATTAATTCTAAATATCTATTCACTTTTTATTTTTTTCAAATTTCATAATCACTAAAAAGTAGAAAATAAATATTGAAAAACTTCATAAGCTGTTTGCCTAGATGAATGAAATAAGAAAATAAAACTAATACGCTTTTTACTTTCTCGTAAATACGTAGTATAGAGAAAGTATTGTAATCGTGCAAAAAAAAAAAAATCGAGATTTTTACAAATCTCGACGTTTTACACCTCACTGATACGGAAAAACATAATTTTGCAATCTTGTCCGTATGTCTGTGTGTGTGTGTCTGTGTGTGTGTCTGTCCGTGTGTAAACACGATAACTTGAGTACCGTTACAGCTAGGTTGATGAAATTTCATATATAAGTATTTTATCAAAATCGTAGATCCGTATCAACTTTTGAGCGATTTCCGATAACCGGAAGTGGTACTTTTCCTACTTTGAATTTTTTAAAAGCCTATAACTTGAGTACTATTTCAGATAGATAAATGAAATTTCACATGTAAGTAAAAGATCTAATTCTCTACCTTCTGTTAAATTTTGAGTAATTTCCGTTGACTGGAAGTAGTAATTTACGCTACTTCCGATTTCTCAAAAAACTAATGTAAATTTTTAAAGTACTAATAATATTGCGCACCATTATGCGCTTTTTTATTTGGCGTTCACTTGGTGTGCAATTAATTTGTCTACGAGATTTTATTCTATTTTTAAAACTTTAAGTATTTAAAATGGATTAAAAATCATGTCTATAGCCCGAGTTCCCATCCCCTGTGATTTTATATAAGAATATTCGAGAAAGTTTTTTTTATGAGATTCTATTCTATTTTTAAAAGTTTAAGTATTTAAAATGGATTAAAAATCATAACTATATCCCCAGTTACCATCCCCTGTTGTTTTATATAAGAATATTCGAGAAAGTTTAGGGGAGATCACTACCGGTTTATTTAATAAAAGCATTCGTCGCTCATGAAATTGGTTGCTGCTAATAGTATATGTTATTTTTAAACTAATTTTGATTTTTGTTTTAGGTTATAAAAAATAAATATACATTGCTTTTGGGTTGACACATTCAGAGGCATTTATGAAGAAGGTAAAATGGTGGGCATTAAGAAATACATGTAGTGTCCAATAATAAAGTACCAAATCTTGGGGTTTTTTTAAAATCATTTTTTCTTGTAACTTTTTACTCCTGGTCTGTTAAAATAATGTATTTCTTGACTGCATACATCTTCCTTAACATTCCTTATGTTTTGCTTGCTGTCCAGCCTAAGCAGGATGGGGTGTAAGTCATTGCCTTTTGTGCAAATATTGTATAAGGTGGAAGATTTGTCTTTGTGTGTGGGTAGGAAAAACTAAGTGGGGAAAATTCAGGTGGAATGTAAAATTCCTTGGGTAATTAAATATTACTTTATCTATGAAAACAAAGTTGGACTTGAGCTAGAACTGAACTATTTTTGTTTTGGCCTCCATTGCACTGCCATTTCTAAGCAACGAGTTGATGAAATTAGATAAAATCTACCTGACGTTTATGGCTCTATCCAAACTAACGGCTTTGATACAGAATGATATGATCTACTCATGCTGGGCAAAACCCCAGCAAGATGATTGAGGACAGTCCTGGCTCAGTAACCCTGAATATATGGCATGGTCTCACACCACTCATTTTGATTTTTTCAACAGGATTATTGAGTTTGCTACTGCTTCAGACTTAAGAAATGCTATAGAGAAATTGGATGGAACTGAAATCAATGGCCGAAAGATTCGTCTAATTGAAGATAAACCTAGAAAACACAGGTTGGTGTGGGCATTATATTTCAACTCAATTAGTTGAAAACAATTATCTTATGCAAGGACAATTTTAATTTATATTCCCTTAAAATATTTAAAAAATAAAAAATTAATGTATACAAATTTATTAAAACACCATATCTGGCTTTCAGCTTTATTAAAATGTAAAAAGTTGAAATTGAACCTTTTCTTGTCTATTGATAAAAATCTCTATTGTCTCCATGTAGTCAGAGCAACACAGCCAGTGACCCAGTCATGGCTTGAAGCAAATCTTGGCTAGTTATCTTCTTCCTTCTTAATTTTTAGTATTGAAAGGGATCGAGCCTTATCTGCCAGAGGGTTTGAATTCGAGACTTTTTTTTATCAACCATGAGCTTTTGCCGACTTGACCACACCTCCATCACAATTAAGGATATGTGTCAACTGGTTACACGCCATTGAGGCCATTGACTGCTTTTTCTTTTTGGATTTGCTTCCATAGCCTTTGTCCAACCAAGAACAAACTATAAGGCAGAAGTCGTTTGATTTTGGAGTTGTCTCTTCTAGAAGAGTGGCTGTCCCCAGCTAACAGGCCTCATCAGCCTGAGGGTTCGAACTCGAGACTTTTCGGTTTAGCCGTCATGAGCTTTACCGACCCGACCCCGGCTAGTTATCAATTTTAGTATTTTATCTAGCTCATTTAGTTTTGTTCAATGCAATTTTGTGTTTTTGTTATAATTAATTAAAACTTATATTTTCTTGCCAGTCGTTCCCGCAGCCGTTCAAGGTCCAGAAGTCGTCGCCGCAGCCGATCCCGCAGTGGTAGCAGATCTAGAAGTAGAAGTCGCAGCAGGTCTCGCAGTGATAGTAAAGATAAAAAGTCAAAAAGCAGATCTGCTAGTCCCAAGAAATCAACATCTCGTTCAAGGTCAAGATCCAGGTCAAGGTCTCAGGACAAGGAAAATGGTGATGAAGATGGAGACAGGACAAATGATGATTAGAAGGAAGAGTTTATGCTTGTGTGTTCATCCTCATTCTCCATAGTAGAATTGTCATCTTCATCACCCATTGAGAATATTGGAAGTTGTTTTATTTTATAGGATGCTGTCATTTTTTTTTTCATGTATTAAAATTTAAATCAACCAAATTTTTGTTAGTAGCTATCTTAGACCATTCCTTAAAGGCTAGAGCCATTTCTAGAACATAACATTATTTATTTGTTTACACAGGACTCAAAAGATATTGTGCAGTAATCAACATAGTTGTAGGGTACCACACACAGGACTCATTTATTGTACCAATGTAAATGCCCAGTTTGTTCTCCATCTTATGATGTCTTAGATTCTAGGTGGACAAGGTCAGATTTTCTTCCAGGCAACTGGAGAAATTCAAGTCTACCGCCCCCCACCACCACCAACGAGATGGAATTTATATAGTAAACACACTTTTACTAGTGTCCTCCTCCCCCCCCCCCCCTTCTTGTAAAAAGTCTGGAAGTAACACTGGACAAGGTATCACTTATATTTGAACACTAAGCCTGCCTGAAACTGGAAGTATTTGTTGATATGATATGATGGAAAATGTTATAGACCCGATAAGCTTAAATTAGGATCTACTAGTTATTTTAAACTGTGTTCTGAAATTAACACTTAATAATAAGGCCAAATCGTTATTTATGCTGTAAGTATGGGGGTCAAACTGTTTTTTTGAAAGTTGCTATGTCAAGAACTCATGATTCTAAGATGGTAGGCAATTAATTAGTTGATATATCTCAAGTAGTAAAATAAGTTGTGACATTTTAAAAAATGTGCTTTTAACTTTTTTTTTTCCAACGCCCTAAAAACTGTTTCTTCCAGACTTTTTTCTGGGGGGGGGGGGGGGGGGGGGGGGCGGACACTTAAAAGTATATACATTTCGGGGGGGGGGGGGGGCGAAGAGATGCCTGGAAGAAACTGCCTAAAAAGTGCCATGTTTTAGAGGTTATATCTTTAAAAGTATATCTGACCATTTTTTGAGCTCAACACACACAGAATATACTCAATTTTTTCAAACCTCAAAAATAAGTACATTATTTAAATTGCATTGAAATTTGCTTTTCTCACCTTTTTTAAATAAATTAAAAAGGGAAGTAAAAAACATGTAGATTTTTTTAAAAATCACCAAAAATGTCTAATGAAAGAACATACCTGCCAAAAAATATTCAGCTATTCTAAAAAGATAAGAAAAATATGTTGCAATTAATTTTCAAAGTACCCTCTGACAGAAAAGACAAAACTATTTGAACTAAGCAATCAGAAAAATAATTGACTCTATGTGAAGTGGGGTTTAGCTCATCGGACGAAGATGAAAAATTACATGGAATTCGAATCATTGAATGGAGCTCTAGCTTTAATAATAAAAATATACAGAAGAAATAAACTTATTAAGTAGCTACATGTTTTTTTTTACTGAACTATCAAGCCTCTAAAACCTGCTAACATCAATTTAGAAAAGCTTGGTGGTGCGGCAATTTTCTACGACCGGGTCTAGAGCTATTTTAGTGATCGCTATAAATACTATAATGTTTTGTCGAGCTCGGCCTTTTTTTTTACCATGCTCAGAAATGATAAACAATTATAGTGTTTTAGTTTTAATAAAATAAAGGACCACCTTTCTAATAAACCGGGAGTGATCTCCCCTAAACTTTTTCGAATATTCTAATATAACACTACGGGGGATGGCAACTCGGGACATAGACAATATTTTTAATCCATTTTTTAATTACTTAAACTTTTTATAATTGAATAGAATCTCGTAAAAAAAAAGAATTGCACACGAAGTGAACGCCAAATTAAATGTGCATAATAGTGCGGGATATTATTAGTCTAATATATAAGTTCAATTCTGTATGTTTGTTTGTAAAATGTTTTGTTTTTTTAATAAGTTTAATAGATTTCCTTCCACACAGTTCACTCCCTCAAGCCAGGAGCTAGCTGTGTGGATAGGTTGCACGTTAAAATATACATGTAATACATAGTCTTGCATACAATTTTCACCAGATTCTAATTAAGCATGTAATTTTTAAGTTTTCATTATACGAAACGTCTAAGATTGTAATGGGTTAACAATTAATGTTCCTTCGAAGCTGTATGATGAGCGATCTATTTACGTCACGGATGGTGGTATTTTTAGGTAGTCCAAACTGAAATTAACTATTGATTGCAGACTTCTGGAGTGAGTATATCATGAAAGAACTTTTAATTGTAAGCTCTATGCCACAAATTTATAAAAATATCTCAATAAATAAAAAAGTTATGCGATTTTTAAAAAAGTTAAATTTGGTAAAAAAAAACTGATTTTCAAAAAGAGCCATTTTTGAGAACCCATATTTTCTAAACTAAATAACATAGAAGTGTAGAAATAAGAAAAGTTACTGCAAAGTTTGTAATATATATGCCCAATTTTTTTCAGTCATCTAAAATGAGTCTTTCTAATGTAAAAAAATTATTGAAAATGACAAAAATGCGTTTTGGTCACTTTTATTTTCATACACAATAAAAATTCAATTTTTTTTTTTGCTTTGGACATAGAATAACCCTAAAACTATTGTGTTGGTAACATTTACAGGAAGAATGTGTTCATTATTTTCAAAAATCACATGAGTTAAAATATTATTTTCAAAAAATGCCACAGTTATCTACTGCAGCAGAAACAATCAAAATTTAGTGGAGTAATGTAATGTAATGTAATCTAATAAAGATGTGATGCCTACAAGTGACGCAGCAGTTGATTCTACATTCAAACCTATCGGGTTGATAACTGCTTTGGGGGAACAGTTTTTTGCATGTCTTGTTTCCCTCATACTTGATCTTGTGGAGCATCAAGAGTAAGTGATATGTTTTGGGAACTGTAGGGGGGGGGGGGGGCTTGGCCTTCTTCCCTTCGCTTTCAAGGAAAGTTCTGGATAGGCCACCATAAATATCTCCAGCTATGGAATAAATAATTTATTTAGTGATTAATAAAATATAATTAAATTTACTACTAGCCTATTGTGTAGGCCTACTATTTGTCCTATGACTGTAGCTGGAAACATGAAAAAGCCTGAAAACACCTTTTTGTTAAAAGTAATTTATACTTGATAGTATATTTTTAATATTAATTCTATTGAATTAAATATTTGTTGCTTGTGCCACAATGTTTGAGATATCCAATGATGAAGGTGCCATACTGTGGTTCTCAGCATCCTATAGGACAACTTAACTGTCCTTCATTGTTACTATATGCATATAAAATAAATAAATAATGAGAAATACTACTAGTACTGCTTACACTTACAGCTAATATAACATTTAAAACTAAGTCACAACATGTACAAACTTAAATAAATTGCACCACCATCTAAAAATTGATCTGGTACATTTTATTAAGGAGACTGGCGCAGACCATTTCACATTATTCAGCAGGGGAATCAGACTCAGAGTGCACAACAGAAAATAAAAAATTAATCACATTAGTCCTTAAAATTTAGTGTCTTTTGTTTCAAATAAATTGATAAAAATGTATAGTTATTATAATTATAAATTTCTTTTGTGTTTCATTAATATTTTATAAGTATTTAACCTTCGTTCCCTGTAAATAATTGAGTTCGTCCACATAGTAACCAGGATTGTCTGGTGGCCATTTTGAATTTGTCGATTCATAATTTTGACGTGATAGTCCAGATAAACTGTAGTAATACGACCCTATCATTGATCCCATTCGATAGATTTTAAAGAATTAGTAAACACTAGCATCTAATACTTAAGTGCATCCATATTTCAAGTCCCTAGAATGTCCTGAATTAAATAGCTTCACGTCTAAACACACCATCTGTACAAGCGTAGTTCACACGCTAAAACCGTGGACTAGTAGCGTTCAAATTTACATTAATAACGTGTACTAATTAAACCCAACTGACATTCAAACTTAAAATTCATTTATTAAAATGGAAATGAAACTTTAAAAATGATACTTACAACTTGTTTGAAGGCTCTAGCAAGGGTAAAATCCGTTTAGCATCATCGGTCGTCAACCTTTAAAACCGTTCGGCGAGCTACTCACCCGGGGCTGAAAGTTGACTCGAGGGTTACATGCTTATTAAGGGCACGGCTTTGCGACCGTAAATCAGAAATACTTGAATTTACAACACAAAGTAGTTATAAAAGTGAGCTTTACATCGGTGTAAAAATTGAAACAGAATTAGTTTGTTTTCGTGTATATATTGTCATTTAAAGTTTAAAAACTGATTTTTAAAAATGAAATAAGCAAGTTATTTTTTCAATTTATACATCAAACGATAGACTAGAATTCGCTCTTTAAAAGGACATAAAGATTATGCTTCTACGATGCTTCGTCGCGAAGACGCAACCAAATGAAACAGTGTGGGGTCGATCGGTACTCGCAAAACGGTGAAATTTGTTGACGTAACTGATACTTTTCAAACAGATATAAAACACATTCAAACATGTGTTACAGATATAAAAATACCAGATTACGACAGATAAAGACTTAAACTTTATTGACATATAATTTTTATTCGTATAGGACAACTAGAAGTAGTGAAATTTTTTTTTTGAAAACCGCAAAAACTGACCCTAAAACGCACCTTTTCGCCAGTTTGGACTACCTAGTATTTTGCATGTATCTTCATACCCTCTAATGGGAGAAATACGTCGAAAATCTGACAGCTATACATTGTTTCGTTAAAATGCACGTCTGTATAGTGCGTGTATAAGTCTGTGTAGATTGTTTTGTCGTCACAAATATAACACTGTAAGAGCTTCGTGTGTACTTTATGCTCGTGCTTTTCCGCTTCCTTGGATGTTTTGTGCTGCTGGGTGCAAAATCTGCATTTTGTTTTGTCACGAACCAGTTTTGTGGTTTTTAGACTTTTGTTGTTTGCTTTGTATCTGTAGGACTCTCCTTCTTTTTCCTTTTTGGGTTTGATCCGTCGCTGTTTTCTGCTTCTGTGCTGAGGTTGTTTATTGCAAGGATTGATCCGTCGCTGTTTTCTGCTTCTGTGCTGAGGTTGTTTATTGCAAGGATTGATCCGTCGCTGGTTTCTGCTTCTGTGCTGAGGTTGTTTATTGCAAGGATTGATCCGTCGCTGGTTTCTGCTTCTGTGCTG